ACAAGCTGGAATATGTGCAGAAGAGGGTGACCAAGATGATAAAGGGTCTGGAAACTAAGCCTTATGAGGAATGATTGAGGGAATTAGATATGTTTAACCTGGAAAAGAGAGGAGATATTATAGCCATCTTCAAAAATCTGAAAGGCTGTCACAAGCTTGTTTTATCCTGCTCTGGAGGGAAGGACCCGAACCAATGGATTCAAGTTACAAGAAAGGAGATTATGACTCAACATCAGGGAGTACGTTCTGACAGCACCCAACGGGTAGAGCAAAACCTCATATGAATTGTCATGTCTACGGAGATATTCACTACTGAGGAGAGCAGATGGCTTAAGAAAGGGGAAACCATGGGTTCTTAAGGCAAGGTAAAAGTCAGCACCATGGAGAGATACCAATATATGAGTTCAGCACCATGGATAGCCCTCTTGCAGCTCAGGTCAAGCATCCCCATTCAGCCCCATGGAGAGATACCAAGATATGACCTCAGGACCATGGACAGCACTTCTGCAGCTAAGTTCAAACATCCAGTTTGGATCTGGACAACTGGCTGAGTTTAATAGCAGGGTTTAGTAGAGATTGACTAGAAGTCCTGCCTCCTGGCCAGTTAAAGGGTTGGTGCCACCTTCTCCAGTTGTTGGCTCCTTTGAGGTCACATATGGTTTTCCAGTTGTGAAGATCTCTCCTCAGGCCTTCCTTGAGCCTCCAGGAAGCCTGTGGACTAACCATCAAAGCCTGACAACAGAAGGATCTCCTTGGGGCTCAAGGGAGGGAAACTGGGCCTGGATCCATCACCTCCCTGGACCTGAAGTTGCTGTGTGAATTCACCTCCTGGGAGCCCTGGACCACTGCCCAGCCAAAAATTAATTTTGCCTACCCTTCAAGTAGGAAATGTTATTACTAAGAGAGAGAGGCCATGCTGGTTACAATTAAACAGGGAGAGAAAGGAAGAAAGAATATCCAGCTGCCTATCCCAGAACTACCTCCAAGATTAAACAGTTGCTCCTGATGCTTTTAAAGTATTGAATGACACAAAGAGACCTTGTGGGAGTCACTGACATGAGGCTGAGGGTCATTAAGAGAAACCTTAATATGGAAAGACAGCCTGTTCCATGCTGCCTCTTACGACAAAAGCCAGTTCGAGGGGCAGAGAGCCCCCATAGTTCTTGCTCTATTGGCAACCTCTTGTGTGCGCACTTGGAACCCTGTTGAGAGACCCTTCATTGTGCTTACCTCTTCTCTGGGGCTACCAATTAACACTCACAGAACCACTGACATGAAAAGCCCTGCATGGCTGTAAGTAACGCTCCTGCTTTGATCCTAATCATTCCTCTGGTTCCTTTGAATGCCATTCTGTTGCAAAAGAGACTTTGTTTTTCTGTTTTGTTTTCTTTGAATTGTAACAGGTGTCGCCCACAGCACCAGGCGCTTTGGGACATCTTGTGATGCTAGGCTTGCTTTGGAGACAAAAGGGGGAGTAATCATGGGGACTGGGAGAAGGATCAGAGGAAAACAGACCCCCAGAAGTCAGGCCCACTCTTTCCCCATGTTTCCAGGATCACCATATCAGAAGAATTTAGACGGGGATGATGTCTGTGTAAAAAAATATATATGAGCCAAACTCTAGAGCAGGGCTGGGCAAGGGGCTGTTTGCTCAGCCTGGGGGTCCAATTCCCTTCTGGGTGATATTCCAGGAGCTACTTGCAAGTGAGGGGTGGGGCCAGAAGCAAAGTGGGTGGAGCAAGAGAGGTTTAACCCTTGTACAGTACAGTTTGTAACATTCTCACACCCACCCCTGGGCCTGAGGTTCCCTGCTCCTGATCTAGAGAAATAATCAGGGGGTCTCCAGAAAAGGCCAAACCCATCAGAAGAATCCCTTAATGCATCTTGAAAGAAGCCCCATTGAACACAATAGGACATGTCTACTAGGCATACTGACTGTGCTTCCACTGATGGAGGTAGAAATGCTTCTGAAAACCAAATGCTGGAGACCACAAGAGGAGAGAGAGCTCTTGGGCTTGGTCCTGCTTGTAAGCTTCCCATGAAGGCATCTGGGTAGCCACTGTGAGAAGAGGATTCTGGACTAGATGGGCTATTGGCCTGATCTAGCAGGACTCGTAGTATGTTCTCCCTCTACTGCTGAAGGCAGCAATGCATCTGAATGCCAGTTGCTGGGGATTGCAGGGGAAGATGATGCTCTTGTGTTAAGGTCTTCCATGCAGGATTCCCTCAGACATCTGAACAGTCACTGAGAGAACAGGATGCTGGACCAGATGGGCCAATGGTCTGATTCAGCAGGCTCTTCTTATGTGACATCCTTCTGATTAAATCTGCATTGTCTTGCTTTGTACAACCATCTCCCCTTGGCCCAAGCAAGCAATATTTGTGGAGAATGTCTGCCTTTCAAGTACATGTCAGAAGCAGCTCTGGAAAACAGCTTGCAAAAAGTTGTCTGTTAGGAGGAAAGCACACTAAAATGCAGAGAAATCTCCATAAGGATTTCTTTTGTTTGTTTGTTTTTAAAGCAAACTGATATGGATACTGTATGTGACAAACTGGACTTAAGACTGGGGGCAGGGTGAGAAACAGAGGAAAACTGAACAGACAGATTTATCCAACCTTACTCTCAGGGAAGTGTGTGCAAGACAGCAAACTTTAGGGAACGCCAGGTACAGGCAGCCAGGGGGATCGTGGCCTGATTAGAACACTTCTTATTTAGGACAGAACTGTGACAACATGGAGCAATGGAGAGCAGGAGAACAGGAACAGAAATGGCATCACCCACCTATTGAAAGTGCTGCATCATAAACATCCATCCAAGCTGAAAGGCCAGTCTCCCCACTCCATGACCTCTTCTCAGATGCTAAGGTCACTGCTGGCTTCTGGGAAAATCCAATTGCTCACTTGTCACACACAGATGGGAAGCAGCAGCTCCTGCAAAGGAGAGAATGTTTTCTTGAAATGCAACTGGGAGGAAGAGGAAGTTAGAAAGGAAGCTTTCGATGTTGTCATTTAATGCAGCTCTTTATCCAGAATGATGAAAACTGAGTGGCATCTCCAGATCAGGCTGGGAGAGACACCCTGTCTATGAAACCATGGAGAGATGCTGCCAGTCAGTGTATGCAGTACTGAGCTAGATAGACTTCAGTGGACTGGCTCCATATGAGGCAGCTTGTCATGTTCTTATTTAATTCAGTTCTTTATTCAGAACCACGAGGACTAGAATCTTACTTTATTTTGAGGGGAAAGGAAACAGTTCATTGGTGGAGCATACGTTTGGCATTCAGAAGGTCCCAGTTTCAGTCCTTGGCAGCATTTCCAGGTAGGACTGAAGAAAAGCTCTCCATCTGAAATCCTGAGAGCTATTGTCAGGGAGGACAATAGGCAGCTTCCTGTGTGAAGAAATGAAGAGTGCATTTTAAGCCTAGGCTAAATGTTGGAGCACAAAGTGAGTTACACACACACACACACACACACACACACACACACTCTGAGATGCTTTTCACTGGTTTTCCTAGACAACACCCTCCAATGTTTGCAGGTGGAGGGGAGGAGAGAAAGAGATCAGATCCATGAGCCTCATGCACCTACATTGTTTCTCATACTTCCAGCAACTCTGTATTGCCCTACACACACACACACACACACACACACACACACACACGCTGTAGACCAGACCAGACCACAAAGAATGCACTTGTCTTTGGGTATCGGATCTCCAGGAGTTGACGGAAGGGCTTCCTTTTGCTGCCATTGCATTTCTGATGCATCTGGCTGAATGAGCCTGTAAGGGAATCTGGCACAGAGAACCAAGTAAGAGCCAAAGTCAGCAGCAGGTCAGAAATGGAAAGAAATCCTATTCACACTTAAAGGGGGGGGGCATACCATAATTCCCTTTTCAAAACAATGGGTTGTGTGCATTAGTGCTACTCAGAGTAGAGCCACTGAAAATAATGGACAGAGCTAACTTGGGTCTGTACATTTCATTGGGGCTACTCTCCATGGAACTTCACTAGATACATCCCAGTTTGGAAAATGAAACGCAGCCATCCTTTGAAATGTGCACTTCTCTGAATTTTGCAATGCAATTCCGTAGCCCCAAATGTATATACTAAAGTTTGCATAAAAACGCAGACATTAGTGAAAATAGCATGCAAGGATCAATGCTGGTCTTTGATTGTAACAGTAAAGAGTTGATTTGAGCACACAAAAATGCATCATTATAAGAAATGGCCTTGCAAAAATGTGTTTCTTAGGCAACATTGCCTACATAACATTTATATCAGGATAAATTCACACCCGAATGCTAATGATTATTTTTAAAAATGAAAATTGCAAACTGACATGGAAATGTGAAGATATGAATGTAAGTTTGGAAAAATCAGAAACGGGGAGAAAGCCCCAAGCTGACAGATTCACCCACCTCAAGTACTGGAAATCATGGATTACATCTGTCCAGTGGCAGAGAGAAGGAGATTTTGACAGGTATGCTTTTTCTAACTGCTATGAGGTGACAAGATACTGTAATCCTCTCTTTTCTGAAACCCCAAGTCACCTTGAGAATATTTTTAGACCTGTAACAAATGAAACAACAACCCTGGTATGTCATCTTTTGGGGAACGAGGGTTGCTTTGGAGGAACACTTGCTCCAGTTTGGAAGGAGCAAAAGTGAAGCTTAGACCATGGATGCAGAGCTTGCCGGTTAAGCTTCTCTTTCTGGGCAGCGTTAGCAGGGCTTTTTTTTTCCCCCTTAAAAAAAAAAAGAGAGAGAGATAAAATCCATCCAGTCTACTTCAATTGCCTCTGATAATGTCCATGGAGAATTAAAGCCAATTAAGGCAAGGGGGAAATGGAGAGCGACAAAGCCTTTGGTCCAGGAAAGGAGGAGGGGTGGTGGACACAAGGAGGGGGTCAATGCCACAATCCAATTTCCCAACCACTAAATGCAATTAAGTGGGAATTACTTACCCTATTTGCCTAGGAGGGCCAGCCTATAAATCGAAATGACCCGATCACTTCTTTTCTATTTGAGGATGCAAACCGCAAGGATGAAGCAGAAGCCGAGACCCTCCTGCCTGACTCTCAAGCTCCGGGAAGTGGCCTCCATGTATTTCACAGGGGTGGCCATCTTCCTGGTCATCTTGGTGGTCGCTCTGCAAGGCACAGATCCGAGGGAGAGTGGCTTCCTCTACAGGGTGTCCCTGGACCCTCAAGGCCTCCTGGAGCTCTCATGGAACATCAGTTACCCCCTGCAGGAGGTGTATTTCCAGATCCTGGTCAAGGAGCTCAAATATGGGATCCTTTTCGGCATGTCCGACCGAGGAGGCTTTCAGAATGCTGATCTGGCTGTCCTCTGGAGTGATGGACGCCAGTCCTATTTCGCAGTAAGTCTGTTGCTAGGCTTCTTCCTGCATTTGGGCTTGGGACCATGAAGACTTTTCCCTTCTGCTTTGGGAAATGAGGTTTAACATGAGTCTGGGTTAGGGGATCGAGGGAAGCACTTTCTCTGCATGCAGAAGGTTCAGTCCCAAAAATACCCCTGCCAAAAACCCTGGAGAGCCACTGCCAATCAAGTGTAGACAATACTGAGTTAGATGGACCAGTGGTTTGACTTGGTATAATACATCTTCCCATGTTCTCATTTAACTCAACCTATACAGATACATGAGGGCTTGGATCTTACTTTCATTTTTAGATGAAATAGCTCAGTGGTCAACCATCTGCTCTGCATGCAGAATGTCCCCGCTTCAGTCCCCAATGGCATCTCCAGGTACGGCTAGGAGAGAAAGACCCCAGAGCCTGAAACCTCAGAGAGCTGCTGCTGGTCCGTGTGAGCAATATTGAGCTAGATGGACCAGCAGTCTGACTTGATAAAAGATGTTTTCTCATGTTCATATTTCTTTGAGCATAGTATCTTGTGTTCATTGACCTTTCCCCACTATCAGTTAATGAGCAGATCATTTGTATTCAAAAAATTGCACTGTGGGAGAGAAAATTTCATTGAAATTGCAAGGTGGGGAGTTCTGGGTTTTTACCATGCTTACTTTATTCCAGCTGAATCCCCAAGGAAGATGTTTCAGAAAAGAGCATTCATCGCTTGGTTTTCCATGCCTGCTAAGCACTTTTTGTTTAAGCAATCCTCCTCAAACATGTACTTTTATTATGCACATCTGTTTTGAAAATCTGTTTTCACTATATGCTGCGAATTTTGTTACTCTTCCTTGCTTTAAAAACCTGTCCTAATGGCCACTGGAAGGTGATAGACTCCCTTCATTGGAGGATTTTAAGCAGAGGTCAGATGGCCATCCATCAGGGATTCTTTAGCTGTGATTCCTGTGTTGCAGCATGACCCTTGAGGTGCCTTCCAGCTGTCCAATTCTATGATTCCACTGTTCTTTTTTCAGTGAATACTTTATACCCTTTTATGTTGACTGCTTAGATATTATTTATTTTTAAGGCTTTTTATAAATCTTGCCAAATACATAGAGGCAACTCCTCCCTCGTAGGCTTTTTTCAGATCAAGAAGCACAGAAAGCCAGGGAGGTGGTAGAAAGCTGGAGAAAGATTTACAGGAAAGAATAGGCACACACTCCATTCTTACAGTGATGCCAAAAGCTCAAAACTCCTGTGGTGAAGGTGCTTGCAAAGATGAACCCTGCAGCCTGCAGGATTGAATCCACTCACCAACTGGGAGGCAGAGGGTCTGTTTTTGTTGTGATCTCCTTCCTGACCAATGTCAGCGCCTGAAAGCCTCAGATCACTCTGAACAGCCTGACCAAGCATGATCCAGGGTGGTCTTCTTGACGTGTGCCAGGATCCTATTGAATTGGCCTGATTCAGTTCAGGAGTTGGCTGGATCCATTGGTGGCTGGAGCCCATTTGGGCAGAGCCAAAGACAGGCAGAGTTACATGATGCCTCCACTGGTAGCACAGAAGGTGGTAGGTGGTCCCAGACAGGGAGAACCACACCGTGATTGGTTGTAAGTCAGACAACAGGCATGTGGGGGCTAGGTGTGGGCAGGTTGCTGGGGCAGGTTGCAGCACCCTACCAGCCCCAGAGTATGTCACAGAGCAAGCCTGTTAGTAAATCACACAGTTCAAAGTTGGCATTAACGCTTTACTAGCAAAAACATGTTCTTTCTGGACTTGGCTGTCAGGTCTAATGAGCACAGCAGCTCATTCCCTGTACGTCTTATTCCAGGTCCCTGCCTCCCCACAGCCATCTATGGTTCCTCTTCTCCAGAGCTTATTCCAAGCAATCAGAGACTGTGCCTATGTGCTCCACCCATTTTATGTCTCTTCTGGTTCTGGGAGTCAGGTGGGGTAGCTTGTTGCAGCAGGAGGGGGACACACCCATGACTTTTCACCAGCCTGACTCCTCTCTGCCTCTTGGCTTCCCTACTTCCACTCACCTGCTTCAGCTTCTGCCTCTGATTCTGGACTTCTCTCTGCTACAGACTCCGCCAGCTCACTACGTCCTGTTGCCTCTTCAGCTTCTGACACCTCATCTTCTCTATCTTTTCCCTCTTCTCCCTCTGACCACTCATCATTTTCCACCTCCACTCCCAGGGCTCTGAGCCTTCTTTCCTTGGTGGCTTCCCAGCTCTTCCTCCCACCATTCCTCTGCGTCCAGTCAGTCCGTGACAGGGTACCAGCCTCCACTAGAGCACAGCCCTGTTCTAAAGAAATCTTAAGAATGACTGGAGGACAAGGGGGGGAAACTGAAGCCTCTTTCAAAGCAGGAGAAAACTCTTAAGAATCTGGAAGACAGATTTTGGCACAACTGTCTGTCATATATGATCTGTTGTGGGATGTTCCCCCCCTTACCTGCAGGATGCCTGGAGCGATCAGGATGAGCGACTCCACATGGATCCTCAGCAGAACTACAGACTTATCAGTGCTCATCAAACGGCTGAGGGCCTCTCCCTGCTCTTTAAAAGGGCTTTCAGCACATGTGACCCCAAGGACTATCTCATTGAGGTAAAAAACTCTTCGCCTCCTGGGGTGGGCTCAAGATATATTGAGCACCATTAGAATAGTTGCTGAGTACTCTTGAGAAGAAAACAGTCCTCCCACAATATTAAGCACCAAGGGAAAGCTGCACATCAGTTCGAAAAGTTGTAATTTTTCCCAATTGCATGTCATTTTTTCAATCTAGGCTGATGCCAAACATACAAATATACCACTTGAGGCAGCTATAATCTGCTCTGTAAGCATCTTCTGGAAATTTATTTATTCTTCCTTTATTTTCTAAAAAGTTATATACAACTGTGTCATAAAAATATGTCAAAGAAGCTGCAGCAGCAGAACCATAAAACCCTACAAAAACAACAAAAAAGTTAAAACGGGCATCAATGAACTATTGTGGAAGGATGTGTTCTTAACTGCGTAGATAGGTCTGGCGGAATAGAAATGTTTTCAGCAACCGTTTAAAAGTTTAGCACAGAAGATGCATACTGAATTGTTATTAGTAGAGACTGGGCTGATGACACTAAATGCTCAGTTTCTCATTGTTGTCAGATGCATCATGCCAGTCTAGGGAACAACCAACAATGTTCCTGCAGATGATCTCAGAGATTAAAGTGTTTAGGACAGGGTGCCAACTTGAATAGAATATTGTGGGGGCCCAGATAAGCCCCACCCCACATAACTGATCACATGATGCAGTGCACACACATCATTTGAATGGGAATGCCCATCAATTTTGTGGGGGCTGGCCCCCTCAAATATTTTATAGTGGAGGCAGAAGCCCCCATGGCCACTAGGAGCTAGCTCCTTGTTCAGGAGGTCCCTGAGGTACCCCAGATCTAAGCTGCTCAGGGCTTTATAAATTCATACAAGAATCTTGAACCTGGCTCTGTGGTAGATGGGCAGCCAGCGCTGCTGTTTTAACAATGGTGCCACATGTTGTTGACCAAATGCCTCCATCAGCAGTCTAGCTGCAGCACTCTGCACCAGTTGGAGCTTCTGACCCAGTTCCCAAGGGCAGTTGCTCTGCTGCTCAGCTCTGGTCCTTCCTGATGAATGTGCCTTCTGTCTTCCCTTCCAGGATGGCACTGTACATCTTATCTATGGGATCCTGGAGAAACCGGTCCCCTCCCTCCAAGCCATCAGTGTCTCTGCCCTCCTCTGGAAAGGCCTGCAACGTGTCCAGCTACTGAAACCCATCATCAGGATCCCACCCCTGCCTGGTGACCTGAAGACCATGGAAATAAGAGCTGTTGACGTGGAGATCCCCAGCCAGGAGACAACTTACTGGTGCTTCATCCAGGAGCTCCCAGAGGACTTCCCAAAGCATCACATCATCATGGTGGGTGGAAGAAAGTACAGCATCTTTCTCCCAACTTCATAGACTTTGACTCCTTTTCTTTCATTTCCCTCCAATCCTTTTACCTTTTTAATATCTATAACAGGGGTCATGAAAAAGGGATGCCATTTTTTCTCTGTGGCAACCTCCAGGAGCCAATGGTAGGTGGAGTCACAGGTTAATAGAGGTGTAAGAGGCCAGGGTGCGCTGTGTGTGTGTGTGTGTGTGTGAGAGAGAGAGAGAGAGAGAGAGAGAGAGAGAGAGACCCATTACTATTTCTGCAGTAGGGTCCCTGTCTCTAGGATCATAGCACCACCCAAAGGGGAGCCTTTTAGCCACTGAGAAGGAATTTTTCTCACCCTTTGCATCAATTGGAGACCATCAGAATGAAGGAAGGTTGAGTCAGCCACAAACTATGGTCTCCTAGGCGCCCTCTGAAGAAAGTGCATGGGAAGAACTTTGAGGAGTTGTTCCGTACACTCCAAAGCTAAACACTTAGGAGTACTTGAAAGATGATTTGAGGAGTTCTGTTAGGTGTCATGGAACTTTAAGGAAAACCCCACTTAAGAATGCTGTACAGTGATACCTCGGGTTACAGACACTTCAGGTTACAGACACTTCAGGTTACAGACTCTGCTAACCCAGAAATAGTACCTTGGGTTAAGAACTTTGCTTCAGGATGAGAACAGAAATCGCACAGCGGCAGCAGGAGGCCCCATTAGCTAAAGTGGTACCTCAGGTTAAGAACAGTTTCAGGTTACGAACGGACCTCCAGAACGAATTAAGTTTTTAACCCGAGGTACCACTGTATATTGGAGTACTCCAAATTATTTGCCTGTGTTGTACCTGCACAGAAAATAGTAGATCCAGTCAAAAGGCAACTCACACAGATCTGCACTGATTGTTGGAATGCATTTCTAATTATTATTAGTGTATGGATTATTCTGAAATCTTAGAAGGTTGCATAATCTTAGAAGGGGGCATGGTTATGATGGGTGGTGGTGTCTGTGACTATCTTGAATGAATTTGTCACTATGCTGCTGGAGGCAATGGGGGGGGCAATGGTTGGGGCTCATTTCTTTGTAGAGGCAAGCTCTCAGTGATTCCATCTGTGCAAGCCAGAGGTTTCTGCATATGCCTCTATACCTTTCTCCATGCAGAAAAGCAAGAGACATCTTCACAGCTCAATTGCATATTCTACACTGACAAAAGCACTTGTGGAAGAGACCAGAGAGGACTGGTAAGAGTATGCCCTGGGTAGCAGCTCTGAGGATCAGATCCAGGGCTGACTCGGTGTAAGCTCAGATCCCCAGGTCAGTCCAGATCTCCACCCCAAAGTGGCCTGGCTTTGTCCGAATCCAGTGCACAGCTCCAATTAAGAGGAGGGTAGGCCTGAAGAAAAGGGATGCAGGTGGCGCTGTGGGTTAAACCACAGAGCCTAGGACTTGCCGATCAGAAGGTCGGCGGTTCGAATCCCTGCAACGGGGTGAGCTCCCGTTGCTCGGTCCCTGCTCCTGCCAACCTAGCAGTTGGAAAGCACGTCAAAGTGCAAGTGGATAAATAGGTACTGCTCCGGCGGGAAGGTAAACGGCGTTTCCGTGCGCAGCTCTGGTTCGCCAGAAGTGGCTTAGTCATGCTGGCCACATGACCCGGAAGCTGTATGCCAGCTCCCTCGGCCAATAAAGTGAGATGAGCGCTACAACCCCAGAGTCGGCCACGACTGGACCTAATGGTCAGGGGTCCCTTTACCTTTACCTTCAGGCCCGAAGAATTCCATCTCCACCTTTTTTATATTTCAAGTCTCTCCTTCCTTTCAGCACTGTTACACTTTCTGCTATGGGAGGGTTTGTAGGAGCTGCAGAACTGCCCCCCCACCCCCACCCCCACCCTCCCAACAGGATGAGAGTGAAATCTGAGAATCGAGCTAATGAGGGGGAAAGTCAATCAGCCTAGAGGGCAATTCCTGCAGAATTCCTTAGTCATCAGCTATGGAGAGCTGTTAGTCAGACCCTGTCACCTTGCAGGTTACAAGAGAGGTAGGAGGGGGAGGGGGGAAGGAAAGCCATGACTCAGCAGATCTCAAAGTCACAGCTGTCCATATAGCAACCCACACCCCCACAAGGTGGTTAGGGAAAGAAGAGGAAAAAGGGAAGTGTGAGTTTTAAACAGCAATCTCTCTTCACAGGGAGCTCTTGAAATTGTAGCTCTGAGAGGGACATAGGGGGTCTCTTAATAACTCTCAGCCCCTTAACAAGCTACATCTCCCAGAATCCTTTGTGGTAAGCCATGACTGTTTATCATAGCACTTTAAATGTATGGTGTATATGTGGCCTTTCACTGTTTTGTTTCATTTTGTTCTTTTCAAATACTACATCCATTGTCTCCCAAAGCCTAGATCTAAAGACAGCACTGAGGATGATGAGTGGCAGACATGGCTTTCTCCCCCTCCTCATTTAATCTCCACAACTCTGTGAGGGAGGATAGGCTGAAAGGCAGAGACTGGCTTCCAAGGTCACCAAGTGAACTTCATGGCCAATGGAGGGATTTGAACCCTGGTCTCTCCCAAATCCTAGACCACTCTAACCACCACACCACACTGATTCTCTTTGCAGTATGAACCGGTCATCACAGAGGGGAACGAAGCTATTGTCCACCACATGGAGGTCTTCCAGTGCGCTGCCAATTTCAACACCTTCCCACACTACAATGGGCCCTGCGACTCCAAGATGAAGCCAGAACGCCTGAACTACTGCCGGCACGTGCTTGCTGCCTGGGCAATGGGTGCACAGGTGTGTCAGATCGAGATAGCTGCCCGATACAGGGCTGGGGCAGAAGTTTCTTCCCATTCCATTCTCTTTGAACTGTTTCCCATCTGTTAATGGAAATGAATTCATGCAGCTTTCCAGTGACCCCCACAAAACGGGCATCTTCCACTATTGCCCATGTATTGTGGGATGACCTTTCACTCTCCCTGATAGGCAGCAGCAACAGACACCTTCAGACATCCTGGAAAGAGATCATTGGGGGCTACTAGGGCAGAGCTTTCCAAAATACATGTCGGGACACATTAGTGTGTCGGCTGCAATGTGTAGGTATGCCACGTGAATGCTCCCTGTGCTCCTTCTGGGGCTGGAAAGTTTAATCTCCTGTTTGCTAGGAAAACTGAATTACTGTGTCGCGAAATGATGCATATCTAAAAACAGTGTCGCCAGCTTGAAACGTTTGGAAAGCTCTGGGCTAGGGTTTTCCCTTTCTGCATTGCAGGTTTCCAAAAGTCGTGAGCTCTGCCTGATACTCCCCCCTTGGGGGTCAGCATCAGAATTGCAATATTGGGGTGGGGGTGGGGGGCATGATGATGATGATTACTATCCATCTGGTTAATTCTCCCTCCCCCTGTCCTTCTTATAGGCTTTTTACTACCCAGAGGATGCAGGGCTTGCATTTGGGGGCCCTGGTTCTTCCAAGTTTATGCGGCTGGAAATCCATTACCACAATCCCCTGGAACTCAAAGGTAAACAAAACTTTGGTGGTGGTGGTGTTAAGACTTATTAGTCACTTGTTATCTAAAAGGCCTACATGTGACTTACATTTGAAACATGAACACCGCCCTGTGATTGTCAGATGAAGGGTTGTATTATTTATTTAATGTATTAAATAAATAATAAGCAATATTATCAAGGGTCTGGAATGAGGATAGGGGACCACTGGCATCACAGAATTACATGTGAAAAGCATCTAGTGGTCTCAATAGACCACAAGCTTCACATGAGTCAGTAGCATGATGCAGCAGCAAAAAGGTGAATGCTATCCTAGGCTGCATCAACAGTAGTGTCTGGATCAAGTGAAGTAACGGTGCCACTCTATTCTGCCTTGGTCAGACCCCACTTGGAGTACTACGTCCAGTTCTAGGTGCCACAATTTAAGAAAGATGCTGGAACACTTGCAGAGGAGGGTGATCAAAATGATAAAGGGTCTGGAAACCAAGCCCTATGGGGAACAGTTGAGGGAGTTGGGCATGTTTAGCCTGGAGAGGAGACTGAGAGGAGATATGATAGCCATCTTCAAATATCTAAAGGATTGTCACATGGAAGGTGAAGCAAGCTTGTTTTTTCCTCCTCTGGAGGCTACAACCTGAAACAATGAATTCAAATGACAGGAACTTTCTGGTGGTAATATCTGTTCAACAGTGGGATGGACTCCCTCAGACTCAGAGGGTGGTGGACTCTCCTTCCTTGGATGTTCTTAAACAGAGGTTGGATTGGCATCTGTTAGGTGTTATTTCACTGTGATTCTTGCATTGCAGGGAGTTGGATTAGATCATTCCTTGACTGGGGGGCGGGATGCTGCTTATGCATCCCTCAAACCTCAGAGAAGAGACTTTGTGGCTGCTGTTTTCTCCCCACCCTCCCCCAAATGCCACTTAGCTGCTTGGCTGAGCTTACAAGGCTGAGAACGAAAAGGTGCCTCTCAAAATAATGAGCGAAGGGGCAGCCTCTCCTGCTTCTACCACATTTTGTGACAGCAAGCTGGCTTCAGGGAGGTGTGGGGCGAAGGATAAGAAAATGCAAAGTGGCTGCATTTCCATAAACACAAAGTTGCCTGCTCCTTGACTTCCTCTGAGTATTTTTAGAAAGCCCCAGCATCTGTGCTGCTCAACAGTCACAGGGTGTTGGGAAGCAACTCATCTATAAATAATGGGGTTTGGTTCTTTCTGTTGAACCAACACCTCCTTCATTTATTCTTAACCATCTGTTGTGCCCAGTTTGGAGACAGGGACATAAAAGGAGATGGATGTCCTGGCCAAAATCAGATTATCTTCCTTTATGGCTTTAACATGGGGATTGGGAAACTAGCCAGTTTGGGTCTGATCTCGAGAGTCAAAAACCTCTGAAAATGAGTTACTGAGAACTGCAAGTGGTGAGAGTGTTGCTCTTGCACTCAGGTCCTGCTTGGACTCCAATTGGAGCATCTTGTTGGCTGACTACTGCTGGATAGCCCAGTTGGTTGGAGTGTGGTTTTGATAACACCAAGGTCACAGGTTCAATACCCATAAGGGACAGCTGCCTATTCCTGCATTGCCAGGGGTTGGATTAGATGATCCTCAGGATCCCTTCCAGCTCTATGCTTCTGTGAGAACAGGATGCTAAACTAGATGCTTCCCCCTTTGACCTGGTGCAGCAGCCAGGCTCTTCTCATTTTCTTCTTCAACTGTGGGGGAGGTAAACATCTTTTTGGAGTGCTCTTCACATCTGGCTTAGCAGTGAGGATGGCAGAGATTATGTTGGCGAGTATGAAGTGGGCTCATTTTGATGGGGGCACCTACTGGGGATGAGAGCAGCCCAGCCCCAAGATTGGCCAGCAACATGTTCTTCTGATGCTTCTTCCATCATCAGTCCTGCTATGAGAAAAGAATAAGATGCAGTTATGGATTTCCTGCTGGTTCAGAAGGAGCACACACACAATGAGCAGAACATCTGGAGTCAAGATGAGGTCAGAGGGGGCTGATGAGGGGGCATGTATCACAGGACTGCAAGTTCTGAAAGCCTTTCCCCCACCATCCTTCTCCAACTAGTATGCAGTTTGCAGGATGTCAGGTGCCCAGAGGGGCCATTAAACAGCAGTGACATTTCAAGCAAACTCAGAGGGGCCCAAGACAGCAGATTCTACTTGGATTGGCTGCTAATTACGGCCCCAGGCAGAGAAAGATCTTACATCACCCACTATGGTGCGTGTACAGCTCATAATCCCTGAGTTATGAAAGAAGCAGGTTTGTTTATAAGGTGTTCTTAAAGTTAGTAGGTATGGAGTTTGGATTAGTAGTAGTAGTAGTAGTAGTAGTAGTAGTAGTAGTAGTATTTTACAACATATTAGCGACTTCTTCTTTACAAAACAATAAAAAACCCTGCAATAAATAGATAACCCATAACATTAAAAACAAAGGAGAGAAAAATCTAAAACTCATCTATATTTTTGAAAGGCAGGACTGCAACATCCCACTCACTGAAGAAGCCATAGATTATTAAATAATAACATTTTTAAAGCAACCACAACCAAAAAATTCAGGGTATTCCCATACACACATCAAACCTAATCCCAGATCCATATATATTTTAATATATACCCATAAGAACAAAACATAAGAGCATGAGAATAGTTCTGCTGGATCAGGCCAAAGGGGGTGCATCTAAGCCCTGTTAGCTCAGAGGCCACACAAAAACCCCCAATGGGAAGCCTATAAGCAAGAGCTGAGCTCAACATTACCCTCCCGTTCTGCAGTTTCTGGCAACTGGTATAAAGCAACATACTGCCTTCAGCAGTGGAGGCAGAGCACAGCCTTTGTGGCTAGCAAGCATTGGTAGTCTTTTCCTCTTCCATGCATTTGTCTATTCCTCTTTTAAAGCCATCCAAGCTTATGGCCCTCACTGCCTCTTGTGGGAGTGAGTTCCACAGCTTAACAATGTGATGTGTGAGCTCCATAGCAAGGGTAGAATCATCAGACCATGCCCTGTAAAGCTTAATTCATTTCCAAGATTTGCTGCCTGTACCTATGAAGATGATCATGGAGACAGCCTAGTTCTACACCCAACACTGAAGGCTGTTCTGCAACTCTCGTTAACATGAGCTTCTTCTTCTTTTCAAACCTTGACAGGTCGCCATGATTCCTCAGGGATCCGCTTGTATTACACAGCCTCTCTCCGGCCTTACAATGCAGGGATCATGGAGCTGGGCTTGGTCTACACACCGGTGATGGCCATTCCACCAGGCGAAACACACTTCCACCTGACCGGCTACTGCACTGATAAATGCACTCAGCTGGTGAGCAGGGGCATAGCGGTGTGTGTGTGTGTGAGCTGTCACCTGGGCGCAGTTTTTTGGGGGGTTGCATCAAGGCGCCCTGCTCCGCCGTGGGCTGTTGCCTCCTTCTCAGCACCATCCAGCTGGAGAGTGATTGAGAAGGATGCAACAGGCGCGCACCCTGATCCCTGCAAGACCAGTGCTGCTTTTGCTATGGTGCTGCTCACAGGGGCCAGGCCGCATGCCTGTTGCCTCCTTCTCAGCCACCATCCCACCCCAAAAGCTGGAGGGATCAGGAGAAAGACGCAACAAATTATGGGCACTCTCCCTGTAAGCAGCACTGCTCTCAAAAGCAGCACTAGGCTTGCAGGGGCCAGGGGAGCATGCTTGCTCGCTGCACCCATGAGCCCAGTGTCATTTTTTTGAGAGTCTTGCAAAGTGACATTGGACTTGTGGGGTGCTGGGAGTGTGCCCCGCTTTGAAGCAGTGGGTCGGGGTCGCTCTGACAGCTGGCCCCACCCACAGCCTTGCCCCCATGGTGCAGACGGGGAACACTCCACTGCTGCTGGTGAGTATGTTTACCTTTAGGCAAGCATAGCCAACGAGGCACACAGGGAGCTGGCTGCCTTCTACTGAGTCAGACCAATGGTCCGCTGAGCTCAGTAGTGTCTAAGCACAGTAGCAGCAGTACTGTGGGGTTTCAGGCAGGGAACAATCCCAGACCTGGGGTCTTCTTCTTGCAAAGCACTGCTCTATGACTGAGCTGTGGCCTTGCACCAACAAATAAAGTATGATTATAATAATAATAATAATAATAATAATAATAATAATAATAATAATTTATTATTTATACCCCGCCCATCTGGCTGGGCTTCCCCGGCCACTCTGGGCGACTTCCAAAAGAATATTAAAATACTATAATACATCAAACATTAAAAGCTTCCCGAAACAGGGCTGCCTTCAGATGTCTTCTAAAAGCCTGGTAGTTGTTGTTCTCTTTGACATCTGGTGGGAGGGTGTTCCACAGGGAAGGCGCCACTACCGAGAAGGCCCTCTGCCTGGTTCCCTGTAACTTGGCTTCGCAGTGAGGGAACCGCCAGAAGGCCCTCAGTGCTGGACCTCAGTGTCCGGGTAGAACGATGGGGGTGGAGACGCTCCTTCAGATATACTGGACCAAGGCCGTTTAGGGCTTTAAAGGTCAGCACCAACACTTTGAATTGTGCTCGGAAACGTACTGGGAGCCAATGTAGGTCTTTCAAGACCGGTGTTATGTGGTCTCTGCGGCCACCCCCAGTCACCAGTCTAGCTGCCGCGTTCTGGATTAGTTGTAGTTTCCGGGTCACCTTCAAAGGTAGCCCCACGTAGAGCGCATTGCAGTAATCCAAGCGGGAGATAACCAGAGCATGCACCACTCTGGCGAGGCAGTCCGCAGGCAGATAGGGTCTCAGCCTGCGTACCAGATGGAGCTGGTAAACAGCTGCCCTGGACACAGATTTGACCTGTGCCTCCATGGACAGCTGTGAGTCCAAAATGACTCCCAGGCTGCGCACCTGGTCCTTCAGGGGCACAGTTACTCCATTCAGGACCAGGGAATCCTCCACACCTGCCCGCCTCCTGTCCCCCAAAAACAGTACTTCTGTCTTGTCAGGATTCAACCTCAATCTGTTAGCCGCCATCCAACCTCCAACCGCCTCCAGGCACTCACACAGGACCTTCACTGCCTTCACTGGTTCTGATTTGAAAGAGAGGTAGAGCTGGGTATCATCTGCATACTGATGAACACCCAGCCCAAATCCTCTGATGATCTCTCCCAGCGGCTTCATGTAGATGTTGAAAAGCATGGGGGAGAGGACAGAACCCTGAGGCACCCCACAAGTGAGGGCCCAGGGGTCTGAACACTCATCCCCCACCACCACTTTCTGAACACGGCCCAGGAGGAAGGAGCGGAACCACTGTATAACAGTGCCCCCAGCTCCCAGCCCCTCAAGACGGTCCAGAAGGATGTTATGGTCGATGGTATCAAACGCCGCTGAGAGATCCAGCAGAACTAGGGAAACAGCTCTCACCTTTGTCCCTAGCCCGCCGGAGATCATCAACCAGTGCGACCAAGGCAGTTTCAGTCCCATGATGAGGCCTGAATCCCGACTGGAAGGGATCCAAATGGTCCGCTTCTTCCAGGCGTGCCTGGAGTTGTTCAGCAACCACTCGCTCAATCACCTTGCCCAAGAATGGAAGATTTGAGACTGGGCGATAGATTCTCGTCCTCATGGTTCTGAATAAAGGGCTGAATTAAATAGGAACAAAGGAAGTTGATCTTGTATCAAGTCAGACCAGCAGTCCTTCTACACTCAGTAATATCTACAGTGGTCAACAGCAGCTCTCCAGGGTTTCAGGCAGATGCCTCCCTTGACCCTACTTGGCAATGCCATTAGGGGTTGAACTTGGGACCTTCTGCATGCAAAGCATATGCTCCACCCCTGAGCTATTTCCCTTCCCCAGAATCATGACCAGTGTCCAAACCAGGGGAAAAACAATGCCAGTTCTAGATATTGTGTAGTGAAACCACTCCACGAGACAACTTGCAGTTAGCCCTTTTTTGGTGTTCCACATTGATTTCTGATAACTGAGTAGCCACCTTCCCTTCCACTTGAAAGCATTTGCCATTTGCCATTCAATCCTCTGGGCCACAAATATTTGTGCGACCTGTCTTGCCAGGCACTGCCACCTTCTGGGATCCACATCTTTGCTTCCCAACTTCACACCCACCTGACAGGGAGGAGCGTGGAGACGGTGTTGTCCAGAGAAGGGAGAGAAGAGGAAATTGTCAACATGGACAAGCACTACAGCCCTCACTTCCAGGTACAGCTTTGATAGTCATTATATACAGACTATGTACCTCTCTCGCCCTGACCTAGCCGCTGTGATCCACATGACGGTCACCTCCAGGCTTGATTATTGTAACTCACTCTATGTGGGGCTGCCCTTGAGACTGACCCAGAAACTCCAGCAGGTGCAGAATACCATGGCGAGACTCCTTACGGGGTCCTCGCCGCGGGATCACATTCACCTGGTGCTATACCAGCTGCACTGGCTCCCGGTGGAGTACAGGATCAGGTTTAAAATGCTAGTTTTAAACTTTAAAGCCCTATACGGCCTAGGACCCTCGTACATACGGGACCGCCTCTCCTGGTATGTCCCACGGAGGACTTTACGGTCTTCAAACAAAAACATCTTGGAGGTCCCGGGCCACAGGAAGGTTAGGCTGGCCTCAACCAGAGCCAGGGCTTTTTCGGCTGTGGCCCCGATCTGGTGGAACACTCTGTCACAAGAGACTAGGGCCCTGCGGGACTTGACATCTTTCCGCAGGGCCTGCAAGACAGAGCTGTTCCTCCAGGCCTTTGGCCAAGGCACAGTCTTGGTAATCCTCATAGAACTCTAGCCCAATGGTTGCCATTAATTTGATTCTGAATTGATTTTAGAATGAATTGATTTTAGAATGTATTTCAATTAATTGATTGTGATTTTATGTAAACTGTGTTACTTTTACTGTTGTTAGCCACTCTGAGCCCGACTTCGGCTGGGGAGGGTGGGATATAAATAATAATAATAATAATAATAATAATAATAATAATAATTTAATGTTCAGCTGTGATTTGTACCTTGCAGGGGTTGGACTAGATGGTGCATTGGGTCCCCTCCAAACTCTACAATTCTATGATTCCAGTGCATTTTAAAATAAGCCTAGAGTGTCCTCCAGTTAAGGGACAGAGGTTCTCTACCCTGCCAAGCAATATCTCTCACCCTCAAAGCCTTCCATCACATTTCCCTTCCACCTCAGTTACCCTCTGCTTACCTGTACATCTCTCTACTCCTGTCTCTCGCTTTATTTTAGGAGATCCGTATGTTAAAGAAAATTGTGACTGTTTTCCCGGTAAGCACATGTCTAAATGATGTTTTGTTTAATCCTTCGCAGGAGGTTTTTTTTTGGGGGGGGACACTGCCACCTTATTATTCATTAATAATACCCATCAGTCCTAGGGATTTGGATGAGGATAACCCTCTGAGGATGGGGTAAACTCCAAAGGGCATACACACACCAAAAGAGTTTCTATTTGGGTCAGTCCTTTGGGGTGTGACAACAGCTGCTCCGACTGAGTGCTTGATTGTAGATGGGCTTGCCTCTAGGCAAGGAATTTGAGCAGGTGGGGGGGGGAGAGAGAGAGATTTGACCAGGCTTCCAAGCAAGAGATGGAATGCTAGGAACCTCTGTTGTTGCAAGAGCATGAGTTGTTGCTGGCATCGGTCTGTCTCAGGAGACAATGGAGTGTGCCTGCAGGGGTTGAGTTAAACCACTGTGTTAGCAGCACAGAAGTTACTCCCCTGGGGTTCAAAGCCTGGGCAGTGTGAATGGAGGTCCTGGGCTGCCCACACAACAAGACCACCCTCTCAGCCTCGCTGATGTGGTCCAAAAGAAAGCAGAGCAATACGTTTGGCACCAGCTTCGCTACAGGAGTTGCCAGAAGGAGACGTACAAGGCACCATCCAACCACCTTCAAGACTCCACTCTGTATTTGTATAGAGTTTACTCCTTGGCCTTTTCTTCTCCTGAAGATATCCCACAAGGCAGTGGAGGTTTAAGATCAGAGTTTTCCTTCTCTCCTACATGGGCTCCCTTCCCAGGTTGGGAAGCCCTACCTGCCCATCACTTCCCTCTACAGTGCATTCAGAAACTGCCTTCTTGACCACTGGGCCTACTATTGGTCTCATCTGCTTAGTCTGTTGGAGCCTGTCTTCACAGGCAGGGAAAGTCCCTAACACACCAGGAGCTTGTGACCCATTGGCTCCCCTCACCTGGTTTAGCAGTTCCTGGGGTGTGGCCACTGTCATATGCTGACAGCTTCTAGGAGCTGCAGGTGAGAGCTAAGTGCAGGGTGGGGACAAAGGTGGACAAATTACCCCTGAAACATCATGACATGTCTCCTAATCAGAGGAACTGCCCCTCCCGTAACACTCCATGTGCTGCTCATATACCCAGTGTGATTGGTGAGCTTGCTGCAATTTTGCTATTTTATATTCCTTGTTGCTTGTCTTGTATTTAAATATTTTTACTGAGTCTCTTTCATATTGATTGGCCCATCTATCTCAGTGTCCTCTGCACTGACTGGCAGCAGCTCTCCAGGGTTTCAGGCAGGGATTATTGAACGTTACATGAGTGGAGGCACCAGATGGCATGGCGTGGATCCCTGCCACTTTTTCTCTTGCTGCAGAGCCCTGGTGTCACAGATGCACAGGCCCAGCTGGTCATTCTCCCCAGAAGGAACTCTGTTGAAAAGCATTAGCGTCCCAAGAGGAAGTGAGGGCAGGTGATGCAGACACCAGCTCTCTAGCGCTTTTCTGTTTATTTCCAGGGTTTTCTCTCGACACAGACTGCCTTTTTGGCTGGGGCTCTCAGCTATCCAAACATGACAAATTGAACAGATATAAGACAAAAAGGGATGGAGAGGAAAATATGCACAGAAACCCTGTATGGGTGAGAATAGGAGACAGGGAAGTGTGATTTAGCTGGAAGAGATAAGGACATAAGAGGAGCCCAGCTGGATCAGGCAAAAAGGCCCTTCTAGCCCAGCATCCTGCTCTCACTTATGTCCATTTACTATAGGACTGCAGAACCCCAAGCCTGGGGCCCAAATGCAGCTCTTCAGTCCTTTCTGTCTGACCCTTGCAACTCTCACCAGCCACACCCCTCAACAGCTTGGCTTCACACCCTCCCTGAATGTTTTTGCATGACTGTAAATATGTCCTTGAACTCTGATAATGCCTCTTGCTTGCCTGGAAGGAGGATTGAGAAAGGAGTGTGTGTGTGTGTGTGTGTGTGTGTGTGTGTGTGTGTGTAGAAACTAACCTACTGCACATGGGCAAAATTCAAATCCATTGACCTGCCCACTTTCACCTCTGTCCCCACTCACCACAGCCATGTGACCTCCAAAAAGTTGCCCATTAGAGAATGCAGCCCTCAAGCTGAAAAGCTCCCCGCTCCCAATCCAGTTTCAAATAGGTGTTTTTCTCCCAACAGGGTGATGTTCTCAGAACCACCTGCATGTACAACACTGAAGACAGGACTAAGGCAACTGTGGTGAGCATCCCTGGATAGGTTCTGGGATACAGTATGGATTTGTGCCACTTGTGAAGATATGCAAAAACCCAGAGGCCAAAGGGGTGCTGCCTTCGTTCTCTGTCTAACACTGCATATGACATGCAAAACCAGAACGAAGTATTCAAAATAAACAGTAGTACAAATTCCCACTCTTAATCCGCATTGTTTACAGATACCCGTAACTTTTTAATATTGTGTTTTGTAACATAGAACACTATGATTTTTGGCCTCCTCCTGAAACTGGGTGAGGGTGTAATGCAAATGAGACCATGTCTACTTAGAAGGAAGTCCTGTTGGATTGAATGGGGTTCACTCCCAAATGAGTGGATATAGGATCTGAGCCTTGGCCACCAAGGGCATGGAATGAAGGAAAGACTATGGAATATGGGAGTTTGGGTTTGGTGTGCAATGGGACAGGCCTCTCTCATGGGAGGAGTCAACAGAGCTGGGTCCCTCCATTCACATCTTCTTCTCAATTTCTGCAACCTACAGGGCGGTTTTGGCATTATGGAAGAGATGTGTGTGAACTACATCCACTACTACCCCCAGACGGAGTTGGAGCTGTGTAAGAGCGCCATAGATTTGGGCTACCTCCATCGCTATTTTAATCTAGTAAACAGGTAATGCATTGTAATTGCCCTAATGTGAGATCATTAACTGAGGGACAAACTGGCTTGCTGGAGGATCCACCAAAATGGTCTCTGGTAGGGCTACCTTGACCCAAACTGGGCTGACACAGAGAAAACCCAACCCAGCTTGAATCCAGACCCAGAATCAATTTGTGGGACAGGGCTAAAGTTTAATTAGGGTTATTTAAAGCCTACCATAATTTAACATACAATCAACAGGGGACACTCACAGTCCTACCGGTAGATACCATTGGGGACGGAACCTCTTGAATGTAAAGCAGCTGCTCTGCTCTACTGAACTATCACCCTGCCCCTTAAAATAAAGCAAGATTCTGGTCCCCAGAATTCTGAAGGAAGGACTGAGTTTAACAGGAACATAGAAAACTGCCTTATACTGAATCAGATCCTTGGTCCATCTAGCTCAGTTTTGTCCACTCTGACTGGCAGTGCCTTTTGGGGATTTTAGGCAGGGAGTCTTTTCCCAGCTCCACCTGCAGATTCTAGGTATTGAACCTGGAACCTTCTGCAGGTGCTGTACTACTAAGCTGTTTTTGATGTTATGAGGCTTTGCCTTTTTCTCTTCTTCCCTCCCTGAGACAAGAGTTTTCTTCTTCTGGCAGGTTTAACGATGAGGATGTCTGCACATGCCCAGAGACCTCTGTCACAGAGCAATTTGCTTCTGTCCCTTGGAATTCTTTCAACAGAGATGTCCTGAAGTCCCTGTATGACTTTGCCCCAATTTCTATGCATTGTAATAAATCCTCAGCAGTGCTTTTCCCGGTATGTATAGCAATGAGAAACTTTGGGGGAAGCTGGGGGAAGTGGACAGAGAAATCAAAGGTGTTTTACCAATTCCTTGGTCTGTGCTGGGTTTCTTTGTCAATGAACACAAGGGCTAATATCTAAGTGAACTATTGGAATTAATGGGTCTACTCCACAGGTTTATTCAGATCCTGGGCACGTTGCATCGGTTTTCCCGATTGTAAAACCAGCATTTCTGTCCTGTTCTAATGTTCCTTTCATGTGGCAGTACTTGTGGCATTATGGAGCTGTGGCTTTTTTTACCACAGTGGCTTTTTTGATCTAGCCCAAACCCCTGCAATGCATGTCATGCTTAATGTCATTCACACCACTGGGTGTGGCATGACATAAAGATGAACATCATTGGACAACGCCAATACTCCCCACCCCTTCTGCACATGCAAGCTTCTGTTCCCCCACATCTTCCCCTTGCAAACAGCAGGATGGAATTGTAATATGCTTAAAATTTCATCACTTTACTCCCACAGTTTTCTGGGTTAAGGGGGTTGCAAATGGATTTTTTTTCCTGGAATCAAATAACATGGAAATGAGTGCTAATCTTCTGCTATATTCTGCCAGATTTCAGGAAGTGGTTTTTACTTTATTTGAAAGCGCAAATATAAAGTGCAAATTAATAGTTTGGGGGAATGGAATAAAGCGTTGTTTGAATGTAGCCCACAACAAATGTTGGGCAAGTTGGTCTTGTCCATTAATTTCAATAGGTCTACTCTGAGTAGGGCTAGCATTGGCTTCAACCCATTGCATTCTTTTTTCATGATGAAGACAAGTGGAACAAGTTCCCCTCCTCCCTTCCAAGTATTATTTTGCCCTGTTTTGCATTGCATGCATATTATTATTCACAACTGTCTAATTTTCTCCCCATTGCATTGCCCATCCAAAGGCACAGGAACATGTTTCTAAGTAGTAATGCAGGCCTGAATGGCCACAGTGCGTTGCCTATGCATGAAGGTCTACAGCTAGCACAACTGGAGACTCCTCTGGAGCAACAGATTTATGCTTTTCATATCAGAAGTGCAAAATTCCATAGGTATTTCTCAGTGACATTGAATATAAAGCACCAAACACACATACATACACGCACCCCAGCTCTCAGGGCATCCCAGGAGAAAAAAATGTGCCTTTTTGACTGTCTATTTTAGTCTCTTTCAGCCCAAAGATAGGTCTCATAGAAAGTGACAATGAATAATCTTGGCCAGGAGGGACATGTGATGAGCAGCCTTCATCACTGAAGACCTTTGCTTCTGTAGTTGGACTTTAAAAGTAATCACCCAAACTGTTTAAGTCATAAATAGAAGGATTGAATCCACTTTATGAAGGGGAAGTTCTTGGATTTGGAGGACAGTGCAAGGCTAGGGAAACTTTTGTATGATCCACCAAGGTAAGGCCTACTAGGGATGACTCAGAACTCCACATCTGCTGATGCCTGGAATCCATGTGGTCTCTAGGGGCAAGAGGGGGCCTCCACCCAATTCCACATGCAGAATCTTAACTTCAGTCCTGGTGACTCCATTGCATCTGAGGACAGCAGGCTGGTTTAGAGGGTGTAGGTCAAACCATCGGCTTGCCACTGCTTCCTGCACATTCCTCCTGAGGCTACTGCCTCACTCTGCTGAATGATAAGACCAGATTTGCATTCTGGAATGGAATCAGGAATCTGTCGCACTGTGAGAAGACCATACCTAAAGAAAATTGGGCTGCTCTAAGCCTCTTTCCCTGAGTTTGGCATTGGATGGCTGAACAGTTTTGGAGCTGTTCTGCTATTCATCCCTCATTTTTTTGGCATCTAGTTCCCAAAGAAGTGGGATAATGAACAAAAGGCTTAGAACTGAGAGGTCAAGCACATGGCCCTGATTGTGCAGAAAGTTCAGTCCTCGCCATCAAACACTTAAAGGACTGGAAGTTAAGAAATGCCTTTGAAAGCAGCTATCTTATCAGGACAGAGGTGGGGGAATAACTTCTTCACACAGCGCATAGTTAAACTATGGAACTCACTCCCACAGGGAGGCAGTGAGGGCCACCAACCTAGATGGCTTTTATAAGATGTTTAGACAAATTAATAGTGAAGGCTATTGATGGCTACAAGCCAGGATGACTAAGCTCTGCCTCCTGAGGCAGCAATGGAAGCAGCAATGCTTCTGAGTACCAGTTGCAGGAAACACGGGGAGACGGCTCTTGTGCTCACAGCCTGTTTATGGGTTTCCCACAGGCATCTGGGTGGCCACTGTAAGAACAGGATGCTAGCTTGAGGCAGCAGGAGGTCTACTCTGATAGCAGAACTTCCATGACCAGGGATAGTCTACTTCTGAATGCCAGTTTTAGGGAACCATAAAAAGGGAGGGTTGCTGATGTGCTCAGGTCCTGCTTGTGGGCTTCCCATAATGGACATCTAGTTGGCCACTGTAAGAACAGGATGCTGGACTAGATGAGCCATTGGCCTGATCCAGGAAGCACTTCTTATGTTCTAAACTGTATTGGGGGGGGGCAACATTGGCTGTAATTAGAGCTGACACTAAACAGCAGCTGAAGGCAACTGACATGACTAAATCCTTGGAGGATGGATGGCGGCTAACAGATTGAGGTTGAATCCTGACAAGACAGAAGTGCTGTTTCTGGGGGACAGGAGGCGGGCAGGTGTGGAGGACTCCCTGGTCCTGAATGGGGTAACTGTGCCCCATTCAGGACCAGGTTAGCAGCCTGGGAGTCATTCTGGACTCACAGCTGTCCATGGAGGCGCAGGTCAATTCTGTGTCCAGGGTAGCTGCTTATCAGCTCCATCTGGTACGCAGGCTGAGACCCTACCTGCCTGCAGACTGTCTCGCCAGAGTGGTGCATGCTCTAGTTCTCTCTCGCTTGGACTACTGCAATGCTCTCTATGTGGGGCTACCTTTGAAGGTTACCCGGAAACTACAACTAATCCAGAATGCGGCAGCTAGACTGGTGACTGGGAGCGGCTGCCAAGACCATATAACACTGGTCTTGAAAGACCTACACTGGCTCCCAGTACATTTCCGAGCACAATTCAAAGTGCTGGTGCTGACCTTTGAAGCCCTAAACAGCCTCGGTCCAGTATACCTGAAGAAGCGTCTCCACCTCCATCATTCTGCCCGGACACTGAGGTCCAGCGCCGAGGGCCTTCTGGTGGTTCCCTCGCTGTGAGAAGCCAAGTTACAGGGAACCAGGCAGAGGGCCTTCTCGGTAGTGGCACCCGCTCTGTAGAATGCCCTCCCAACAGATGTCAAAGAGAAAAATAACTACCAAACTTTTAGAAGACATCTGAAGGCAGCCCTGTTTAGGGAAGCTTTTAATGTTTAATACATTATTGTAGTTTAGTGTTTTGTTGGAAGCCGCCCAGAGTGGCTGGGGAAACCCAGCCAGATGGGTGGGATATAAATAATAAATTATTATTATATTATTATAAAATATACACTTTTAGATACCCAGCAAGGTCACTTATTTCCCCAGGTGAGTTTCTCCTCAAAGTTCCTAAAATATCAGAACTACTGCTTTTCAGCAACTTGGGGCAGGTCTTTCAGTATGGCTGCTCCTGTTCTGTAGAACAGCCTGAATCTTGTGATGCCACAGGTACATCCTGTTGGCACTTTCCAGAAACAAATGAAGATGTTTTTGTCTGGACAAGCTTGTCCAGCAGGATGAAGTCTCTATCTTAGGCATTCACAGAATCAGAATCATAGAATCATAAACTTGGAAGGGATCCCAAGAGTCATCTATTCCAACCCCCTGTGATGCAGAAATCTCAGCTAAAGCATCCATCCAACCTCTGCTTAAAAACTTCCAATGAGGTCAGAATGTTCTTCCCGATGTTTAGTCCAAATCTCTTTTGTTGCAACTTGAAGCCATTGGTTTGGGTCCTACCTTCCAGAGCAGGAGAAAACAAGCTTGGTCCATCCTCCACGCGATAGCCCTTCAAATATTTGAAGATGGCTATTGTATCTCCTTTCATTTTCCTCTTTTTCAGGCTAAACATTCAGTCTGTTATCATTTATAAACCTCTTGTTCATTGTTGCTGATTTGCATGGTTATTCAAAATATTTCTTAGCAGTTTTTATAGTGTATTTGTAAGTTACTGTGACTTACCGTGGGATGTATGTAAAATGATGGTGATGATGATGATGAATAATTAATAAACTGCTTCTCTCTCCAGGGTGAATGGGAGAGGCAACCTGTACCAAAGATCACAGAGATACTACCGGAACCAGAGTCAAGCTGCGAGCCCAACCTAGTCCGTCCCCCAGTGTCTCCCACTCTTGTTAAACTCAACAAGGTGCCTTTAAAGTGAGAGCTGGACCTAACTTAGGCCTCATCCACACCTTACATTTAAAGCACTATGATACCACTTTAAACTTCCCCCAAATATTATTTCCCTCCAATAATTCATTAAGGGTACAGAGAACTGTTAGAAGAATGGGGATGGGGTGTGTGTCTCCTAACAGGGTTACAATTCTCAGAGTGGTTTAATAATCAATCCCTTTCACAGCGAACTCTGGGAACTGTAACTCTAACAGCTTTCAACACCCTGAACAAGCTACAGTTCCCATGATTCTTTTTTGGGGGGAGCAGAAATGTTAAGCTGTGATAATACTGCTTGGAATGTATAGTGCAGGTTGGGCTTTTAAGCAGACAGCTGCAATCCTCATAAAGGGATAATGGGCAAAGGGGAATCTCTTTACCACCCCAGGAGGCAGACCTAGAGCCAGGGTTTTTTGAGGTGTGTGGGGGTGTTGAGTGAAGCTCTGTTCAGAAGTTAGAACAAGCCTACAGAGAGCAGTATGCTTGGATTTCAATCATAGCAGCTTGCGGGTGAGCGACGGGACTTTTTCTCAAACAAAAATGAGCCTCACAGATGTATCTTCATAGATGGCCCCATTCTGAGGCACATAACAAGGCCTGACTCCCCTTTGGCTCTGCCTATAAACCAGATCCCACCAGGTGTTCCTCTGACCCACCCCAAGTTCTGCTCCAAAGCTCAAAAGAGGAAGTCTTTTAAAATAATAATCAAATTGAGTGGGAGTGTCAAAACACAGAAAATGAGCCTAATGCCCTCTGTGTTGAGGAATGATTGGTCTGTGGACCTGAGCTGATGTGATGGAGGAACACGGACCATCTGTGTGTGTTTTTCACCCACAAACCCGTTAATAGTTACAACTCAACCTGCAACATTTATAAATAAACGTAATTGCAAATATCACACCAAGTCTGCTGCAATGTGTATGTGCACTCTTTTCTCCTTGATGGACAAACCTCACAGTCTATGGAAGGAACACAAAGATATTAATCATCATTGTTTATTTGTGTATTTGAAGACCAGGAGACTGCATCTGCAAAAGTGGTGTTATAGTTGGCTTGTCATTTCTAACTCTATGGTTTGCTTGAGAGCCCTGCTTGCCTTATTCCTTCTGAATATCGGTTTCTGGAAACCACAGGAGAGAAAGGTCTTGTGCTCATTCCCACTGGGGCATCCGGTTGGCCACTCTCTGAGAACAGGAAGTTGGAGTAGATGGACTGTTGGCCTGATCCAGGAGGGCTTCTCTTATATTTTTAGTTCAGTGGCCCTGCTTGTGGGCTTCCCATAATGGGCATCTGGTTGGACACTGCAAGAACAAGATGCTGGACTAGATGGGCCTTTGGCCTTATCCTGCAAGGTTCTTCTTCTTTTTGCCAATTATTTTTATTGATTTTCCATTAATTTCAACAAATTGTCACCAAATTAATAGAAATTTAAAAGCTGACTTCCCCCATGTTCCTTCTTTTTCCCTCCCTCCATTGCTGCTCCAAATACATTAGCTTTCCCAACTTTCATTTCAATATTCAATAAAATTAAAGCACGTGTAGACACATAGTCAGAAAAGCTAAAGCACAGAATGAACTCAGGCTTGCTAGAGAGGTTAAAAGCAACAAAAAAGGCTTTTATGGGTATGTTCGTAGCAAAAGGAAGAACAAAGAAACAGTGGGGTCACTCAGAGGAGAAGATGGTGAAATGCAAACAGGGGACACAGAAAGGGCTGAACTCCTCAATGCCTTCTTTGCCTCAGTCTTCTCCGATAAAGAAAACAATGCCCGACCTGAAGAATTTGGAGCAAATGATTCAGCAGAGGAAACACAGCCCAGAATAACTAAGGAGATAGTACAAGAATACTTGGCTAGTTTAGATGTATTCAAGTCTCCAGGGCCAGATGAACTGCATCCAAGAGTATTAAAAGAACTGGCAGATGTGATCTCAGAACCACTGGCAGTCATCTTTGAGAATTCCTGGAGAACAGGCGAAGTCCCGGCAGACTGGAGGAGGGCAAATGTTGTCCCTATTTTCAAAAAGGGGAAAAGAGAGGACCCAAATAATTACCGCCCAGTCAGTCTGACATCAATACCAGGGAAGATTCTGGAGCAGATCATTAAGCAAACAGTCTGTGAGCACCTAGAAAGGAATGCTGTGATCACCAATAGTCAGCATGGATTTCTGAAAAATAAGTCATGTCAGACTAACCTGATCTCATTTTTTGACAGAATTACAAGCCTGGTAGATGAAGGGAACGCAGTGGATGTAGCCTACCTTGATTTCAGCAAAGCATTTGACAAGGTGCCCCATGATATTCCTGTAAAGAAGCTGGTAAAGTGTGGTCTTGACTATGCTACCACTCAGTGGATTTGTAACTGGCTGACTGACCGAACCCAAAGGGTGCTCATCAATGGTTCCTCTTCATCCTGGAGAAGAGTGACTAGTGGGGTGCCACAGGGTTCTGTCTTGGGCCCGGTCTTATTCAACATCTTTATCAACGACTTGGATGATGGACTCAAGGGCATCCTGATCAAATTTGCAGATGACACCAAACTGGGAGGGGTGGCTAACACCCCAGAAGACAGGATCACACTTCAAAATGACCTTGACAGATTGGAGAACTGGGCCAAAACAAACAAGATGAATTTTAACAGGGAGAAATGTAAAGTATTGCACTTGGGCAAAAAAAAATGAGAGGCACAAATACAAGATAGGTGACACCTGGCTTGAGAGCAGTACATGTGAAAAGAATCTAGGAGTCTTGGTTGACCACAAACTTGACATGAGCCAACAGTGTGACACGGCAGCTAAAAAAGCCAATGCAATTCTGGGCTGCATCAATAGGAGTATAGCATCTAGATCAAGGGAAGTAATAGTGCCACTGTATTCTGCTCTGGTCAGACCTCACCTGGAGTACTGTGTCCAGTTCTGGGCACCACAGTTCAAGAAGGACACTGACAAACTGGAACGTGTCCAGAGGAGGGCAACCAAAATGGTCAAAGGCTTGGAAACGATGCCTTATGAGGAACGGCTAAGGGAGCTGGGCATGTTTAGCCTGGAGAAGAGGTGGTTAAGGGGTGATATGATAGCCATATTCAAATATATAAAAGGATGTCATATAGAGGAGGGAGAAAGGTTGTTTTCTGCTGCTCCAGAGAAGCGGACACGGAGCAATGGATCCAAACGACAAGAAAGAAGATTCCACCTAAACATTAGGAAGAACTTCCTGACAGTAAGAGCTGTTCGACAGTGGAATTTGCTGCCAAGGAGTGTGGTGGAGTCTCCGTCTTTGGAGGTCTTTAAGCAGAGGCTTGACAACCATATGTCAGGAGTGCTCTGATGGTGTTTCCTGCTTGGCAGGGGGTTGGACTCGATGGCCCTTGTGGTCTCTTCCAACTCTATGATTCTATGATTCTAAACATAATTATATGCAGGGTTCTTCTTCTCCTCCTTCTCTCCATTTTCTCATCATAATTACCCTGTGAGTTGGATTTGCCAAGAGAGAGCACTTGACCCAAGCTCCCCCACCAGCTTTCACCCTTAAGTAGGGATTTGAACCCTGGCCTCCTGGGTCCTAGTCCAAGACTCTATAACCACTTCGCCACACTGGCTCCTAAAGCGTATTTATCTCTAGCTTCTAGACAGGGCCTTCCACCTGCCTCTTCTAAGATGCCACCTGTCAGGGGTTCAGAGAGAGAGGCACAGGGTAGGCAGGAGATGGAGAGCGAGGGGGAGGAATTCCAAGCCAGCGAGGAAGAGGATGACAATGACTCAAGGGATTCCATGAGTCTTTCCAGCGAATCAGAGGATTCCCAGAAGGGGGCGCCGGTGGTCAGGGCCAGGGGAGCCCCAGGGGGGAAGTGTCAGGAGCAGGGTGCCAGCGGAGGATCCCAAAGTGGCAGCTGGGCGTCAGGACCAGCCTCCGCACCAGTGGGGTGGGAAGGGGGGTGGAGTTTCCAGTGTGTCAGAGGAAGCAGCTCCAGCAGCAGAGACAGGAGGGGGGGTCAGAGCAAGCCGCCCTCCCGGAAGGGGAGGGGAGCAGTGAAGGGAGTAGTGTAACTGTCAAAAGGAAAGTTAGAGGTTTGGCGCGCGCGCCTAGTTCAAATGTAGAGGCGCGCGGAAATGCAGGGAGTCCGGAGGAGGGGCCAGGTCCCAAAGCCCGCAGGAGGGGGGGAAGAGCAGTCTGATTCCGCGTCAGAGGAATCCAGAAGGGGCGCAACCCCAGGGGGCAGAAGGACCCTGCGGAAAAGGAAGGAGAGAAAGAGGTGGAGCAGCGCAAGTCTCTTAAATTGGTGCAGAGGAGGAACTGACTCAGAAGGGGACTTCGGCGGTCTAGCGTAAGAGACGTAAGGCTGCGCGCCTAGGATGTCAAGCAACCATGAACTGCAATAAACACCTTTGTATACAAGAAGACGTAGGCGTTGGTCTTTGTGAGCTAAGACTTGAGGCAGCCTTGACAGTAAGTCCCCTCTCAGAACAAAAACCGCAAAAACTTTTTTTTGCACAGCTCACGAAGTTTGGCAGCAATGACTACTGAGGAGCAGATAGCGTCCCTGCAAAACGCAGTCACCGAGCTCTCCACTGCCGTCGTGGTTTCTCAGAAGACAGTTGCAGAAGCAGAAGCGCGATGCCAGGATCTGCAAGCCAGGTGGGATCGGGCGTGCAGAGAGGGGTTCCCGGGGTCCAGATCAGAGGGAATCGGACTGGGACGAAGGGGGGGCAATTTAGTAGCCCACTTCGATGGGAACCTGAAGCATTATCCCAATTTCAGAGCAGACGTCGTATATGCACTGCATTTACTTCGAAAGGACTTCAAGGATGAGGAGGAAAAAGTGGGGTTCATTGTGTCGCACCTGCATGGGGAAGCAAGGAATTGGTTACGCAATTTATGGCGCGAAGATGGTCTTGCACGCAGGGACTCTGATGAATTTCTCAAAGCCATGGACGCTTGCTTCCAATCTACTGTTGACGTTGATGTGGCACGTCAGGAGATGCATGGATTGCGGCAGGGCAAGGCTACAGTGCGTCAGTACCATTCTCGCTTTTTTGCATTGCTGAATGTGCTGGGCTGGGAAAAGGACTCCTTGGCAGTGAGGGACTTGTTTTGGGAAGGGCTGCATGGCTCAGTGAAAGATGAGCTGGCTAGGGGAGACAGACCTCAAACCCTAGCAGACGTCGTGCAGAGGGCACTCACGATAGGGGTGCGCCAAGAAGACCGCCCTTGGCACAGGGAGGAGGGGCGTCACGTCCGCCCACCAGCTAGAGCGCCTCCTTTTCCTTCCAGGGACTTGGAACGGTCAAGCCTTTCGCCTGTCCTGGCAGCGGGGGAAGAACAGATGGAACTGGGTGGTGCAAAGGCTCAGACAGCTGCCGGAGCCTCAGCGTCAGGAGCAGTCAAAGCGAAGCCTCCTAGAGGGACCAGGAAGTGTTACATCTGTGACAGTGCACGGCACATGGCTAAAGAGTGTCCCCAGAGGCTCCAGAAGCACACTGCAGCCTTAGCAACAGTAACAGGGGAAGCTTTCCAAGGGGAGCAGTTTCAGGGAAACGAGAATGCCTGGTTGGAGGGAGAGACGCTGGGGCTCCGCCAGGCAAGTCAATGAAGCAGTCCCCAGCGCTTTTGCAGCCTACAGACCCCTTACCACCTAAGCCAGTGGTGCAGCTCACTGCTACTCTCCAGCTGCCTAATGGACTCACCCTGGAAGTCCCCATTACGATTGACTCAGGGAGCAACGCAGACTTCGTGGGGGTGCAGTTCGTCAAGCAGCATCGCATAGCGCTACTACCAGCCACGCTGCCTCTGAATGTGGTCACTGTAGATGGCAGGAAGTTGCTGGGTGGGCAAGTGGTACAACAGACGCCAGCCATGCTGCTGAAAATTGGGAATCATCGCGAGGTCATCAGTTTCAATGTCACCCAACTGTCAGACACGCCCATAGTGCTAGGCATGAGTTGGCTGGATAGACACAGCCCATCCTTGGCGTGGTACCAGCGGCAGCTCACCTTTGGCTCGTCCTACTGTGCACAACATTGCATCCAGATTGGTGAGGACGAGGAGGGCCGGGAGGAAGGGCAACAGCTGCATCTAGGCATGGTGCAGGCAGTGCCCCACAAGTACAAGGGATTTTTGGAGGTCTTCTGCGAGAAGGAAGCTGACCAATTACCACCCCACAGGCCCTACGACTGTGCAATTGACCTCTTACCAGGGGCAACGCTGCCGACTGCGAAGCTGTATTCCATGTCTGAAGATGAGATGCAGGAGCTCAGGGAGTTCATAGATCACAATTTGAAGCGGGATTCATCCGAGAATCCAAGGCAGTGGGGGCAGTCCTGTGTTTTTTGTGAAGAAGAAGGACACGCCCCAAAACGACTCATTGTGGACTATAGGGCCATAAACTCGATGACAAAACCCAAGGCTTTCCCCATGCCCAAGATTGACGACCTGCTCGCGACGGTGAGGAAGGGGAGGATCTTCACCAAGTTGGATCTACGCGGAGCCTACAATCTCATACGCATGAGGGAAGGTGACGAGTGGAAGACGGCCATGTTCACGCCGCTGGGCACCTATGAATACAGAGTTATGCCGTTTGGTCTCCAAAATGGCTCCCACTGTTTTCAAGCATTCATGCACCACGTGCTAGCAGGACTCCTCTACAAGAAGTGCGTATGCTTTCTCGACGATATTCTGATCTTCTCGGAATCGCAGGAGACTCACGAAAGAGACGTAAAGGAGGTCCTGCAGAGGCTACGGGAGCACAGACTCTACGCCAAGCTGGAGAAGTGCCAGTTCGACGTGACGGAGGTGGATTTCCTGGGCTACCGGCTGTCCGACAAGGGACTAGCCATGGACAGCGCCAAGGTCCGCGCGGTGTTGGACTGGAATAGCCCACGCAATCGGAAGGAGGTCCAGAGGTTCGTCGGCTTCGCCAACTTTTACCGCAAGTTCATCAGGGGTTTCGCGAAAGAGACGGCAGCTATCACGGACACCCTCAGTTCCAAGAAGAAAAAGTTCACCTGGACGGACCAGGCGGAGCAGTCCTTCAGGAGACTTAAGAGTCTCTTCGCGTCCGAAGACCAGCTGCTACACGTGAATCCTGGCAGGCCCATGCGGGTTGAGACTGACGCATCTGACAGAGCAGGGGGGGCCGTCCTCTTGCAGGAAGATTCGCCAGGGACCTGGAGGCCCTGCGCGTTCTACGCACGGAAGCTCAGCAAGTCGGAACAGAACAACAACATCTGGGACAGGGACTAGAAGGCCATCCACGCGGCTTTCAAGGCGTGGCGGCACTTCCTCATCGGAGCCAAGCACACCGTGCAGGTCCGCACGGACCACAAGAACCTGGAGTATTGGCGCACGGCGAAGCTCCAGAGCCAGAGGCACATGAGATGGGCGGAGTTCTTTGCGGATTTCGATTTCCGGATAGAGTATATCCCGGGAGACAACAACATCATAGCGGATGCGCTCTCCAGGAAACCGCAGTATCTTGAGGAAGCGGCACCAGTGGCAGCCAGGCACATTTTTGCACCGCAAGCGTGGGCGTGCGCTTCTGCCGCCGTGGACCTGGACGCGGTACGACGCGCGCTACAGACGGACCCGATTGCACAATCCAAGATGGAGGAGGTGCGAAGAGGGACAGCAAAGGACGGCGAATTCCAGATACGCGACGGCCTGCTGACCCGCAAAGGTGCTCTCTATGTCCCGGGAGACGATCTCCGAGCGAAGGTTTTACAGCAGTTACACGACGCCCCCAGCGCGGGTCACTTCGGCAAGGAGAAGACGGCGGACTTAGTAGCCAGGGACTTTTGGTGGCCCCAGATGCGGGGAGAAGTCGCGGATTACGTCGCCAGATGTGACACTTGTCAGAGGTCCAAGCCAGTGCACAAGAAGCCAGCGGGATTGCTGGAACCGCTGGAGACGCCACTGCAGCCGTGGGAAAGGGTGGCGCTGGACTTTGTCACTGATCTGCCCAGTTCAAGGGGCAAGACGGCGGTGCTTGTGGTTGTAGATCTGTTCACCAAGATGGCGCATTTCATTCCTTGCGCGAAGGTGGCAACAGCGGAGCAGACCGCCAGGCTATTCATAGACCACGTGTTCCGGGTGCACGGCTTACCACGGTCCATTTTGTCCGACCGGGGTCGCCAATTCATTTCCAGTTTCTGGCAGAAGCTCCTGGGCATCCTGAATGTCAAGATCAACTTAGCGTCGGCGAGACACCCGCAAACCAACGGCCAAGCGGAGAGGGTCAACGCCATCATGCAGCAGTACCTGCGATGTTACGCCAATCAGAAGCCTGCAACTTGGGTGGACTACTTACCGATGGCCGAGTTTGCCTACAACAACACGAAGCACGCGTCAACGGGGGTGACACCGTTCTTCGCCAACAATGGGCGACACCCCAGAACATTCCCGGCGTTGGAGACGACGACGCAGGGGGAGTCGCAGGGAGCGGAACATTTAGCAGCAGAATTGCAGGAGGTCCACGAGGAGCTACGACGGCACTTGGAACTAGCTAAACACGCCTACAAAGTGCAGGCAGACAGGCACAGGAGGGCAGGAGAAGACATCCAGGTGGGGGACTGGGTATGGTTAGCAGCCCAGGCGGTGCCGGCCAAGTCGTTAGCTAAGAAGAAGCTAGGACACAAACAGCTAGGGCCATACCAAGTTGAGGGCAGGATCAATCCCGTAGCTTTTCGGTTGACCCTCCCAGAGGATTCCCGAATGCACCCGGTCTTTCATAGGTCGGTGCTTACACCCTACAAGGCCCCACACAGATTTCAGGAGCCAGGGACGGCACCAGACCCGCGTAGGAAGTCACCAGGGGGGGGGGAAGTCACCGAGGACCCCGACACTCAACGAGGTCACGGAAATTCTGGACTCGAGATGGGGGGAGGAGGGAGTGGAATACCTCCTCGCCAGGGAAGGTACCCCGGCTAGCGCCAACAGTTGGGTGCCAGATTATGCTCTGGAGGAACCTTTTCTTAAGGACGAGTTCCATGCACTCTTCCCACACAGGCCCATGCCAGAGGAGTATTTTGACGACTGGCTTTTTACCCCCACACTTTCAGGCAGCACCTTCAGGGGGTTCTCCTCCGCAGAGGAGACCACGCCGCAATCGAGCCCTCCAAGGGGATCGGGCTCGGGGGTGGACACGGACCGCTCTTATTGGTGGGACGATCAACCAGAAGTGGGGTGGCGAAGGGGACCTTGGCAAGCAGCTTCGCCTGAAGTAACAGGGGGAGGGAAGGGTTTGGAGGTGTTGGGGGAGGACCCCGGTTTCGAGCACTCCTACACTGAACTGGAAGCAGAGGAGATCGACGTCGACGAACTGTATCCAGCATCTACCCCCGCTACAACGAAGCTCCCGGAACCTGCGCCCGAGCAGCGGGAGGGGGAGGGGGGGCTTCGAGGGGGATGGATGTCAGGGGTTCAGAGAGAGAGGCACAGGGTAGGCAGGAGATGGAGAGCGAGGGGGAGGAATTCCAAGCCAGCGAGGAAGAGGATGACAATGACTCAAGGGATTCCATGAGTCTTTCCAGCGAATCAGAGGATTCCCAGAAGGGGGCGCTGGTGGTCAGGGCCAGGGGAGCCCCAGGGGGGAAGTGTCAGGAGCAGGGTGCCAGCGGAGGATCCCAAAGTGGCAGCTGGGCGTCAGGACCAGCCTCCCCACCAAAGTGCAGTGAAGGGGGTGGAGTTTCCAGTGTGTCAGAGGAAGCAGCTCCAGCAGCAGAGAAAGGAGGGGGGTCAGAGCAAGCCGCCCTCCCGGAAGGGGAGGGGAGCAGTGAAGGGAGTAGTGTAACTGTCAAAAGGAAAGTTAGAGGTTTGGCGCGCGCGCCTAGTTCAAATGTAGAGGCGCGCGGAAATGCAGGGAGTCCGGAGGAGGGGCCAGGTCCCAAAGCCCGCAGGAGGGGGGGAAGAGCAGTCTGATTCCGCGTCAGAGGAATCCAGAAGGGGCGCAACCCCAGGGGGCAGAAGGACCCTGCGGAAAAGGAAGGAGAGAAAGAGGTGGAGCAGCGCAAGTCTCTTAAATTGGTGCAGAGGAGGAACTGACTCAGAAGGGGACTACGGCGGTCTAGCGTAAGAGACGTAAGGCTGCGCGCCTAGGATGTCAAGCAACTATGAACTGCAATAAACACCTTTGTATACAAGAAGACGTAGGCGTTGGTCTTTTGTGAGCTAAGACTTGAGGCAGCCTTGACACCACCTGACAGTGAGAAGCCTTCAGATCATTAAGAAAGTCTGCTACTTTCATCCCAAGAGCTGCTTTTATTTGTAAGCAAAGTTAATCAATTTGGCTGCATCCCCAAGCTGCCGCTGAATTCAGTGGGCCTTCTGAGCAGGCAAGGTTAGGACCACACTGTTAAAAGCCATATAGTGACCCAACTCTGATTTCTTGGACAGGACGGGGGCTGGATGGTTGTGTTGAAATCAAGATAGCAGGGCACCGATTTGTGTCCAGTTGTCAATAGAAATAACAATATGTCCCAGAAGGCGTTAAGCATCTCAGCCGAAAAGGAAGTTCATGGTAAGATTGACAGGAGTAGTGGATGCTGAAGAGAAATCATAGGGGCAGTAGAGGCTGATCCTCATTGAAACTGGTAGTGGGGAACGAAGGGCACCCGAGCAATAGGTGGAGCCAGAGCCAGTGACAGGCAGGGCCAACTAATTCCAGTGTTGTCCCCATCCTCCTACCAGCTGACTTCTACAAAGGGCAACACTGAGACTGAGGAGGAGGAGGAGGAGGAAGCTGACAGGCTTGTTGTAAGTAGGAAAGAAGGCATATAGGAGCTAGCTGAAGGCAGAGTGGGGTTGGTGGGGCAGAGCCCCATTTGCCCTAATGGACCAGTTTCCACTGCATGGGGTAGAGTGGGGTGGGGGGAAGGAGCATGATTGTCATGATCTGCTACAGAGCTTCTTCTTAAGGCATTTCACTGGCCACTACCAATTAATTGGTGGAGGTCACTTCCACATTGATCTGGTCCAGCAGGGCTCTTCAAGTTTTTCTTGGGTCCTAAGCTCTGTGGAATTTTGCTGAGTTATCAGGACCCTGAAGATTTTGTCCCCTGCCCCAGCCAGCTTATAGTCTAGTCATAGTCCAGACCTTTGCCCATCCATCTCAGTAGATCCCTTTCACTCTCTTGTTCTCTGGATCAAAGGGTGTCCTAGTGTGTGCTTTGGCTGCGTAAGGGACCCCCATCCTTTCCAAGGTGTATTCACCACTTTTCACAAAGTCCAGGGAGACCTGAAGATGAGACAAAGCCATGTTGTAGATATAAGTATTAGATATGTTCCCACCAAAAGGGTTTCATTTAATTTTCCTCCTTGTTCTTCTTACGGCTGCTATTAACATGCAAATGAGACTGGGATTATCATGCCAAGTGGGAAAGAGCAACCCCACATGTCAAACATCTGCTTAATGAGCAATGCATTCTGCAGGGCACGTTCGGTGATCAGTCCACTCAGCAGAACATCACCTGTCTGCCACAACAGCAGCAGCAGCAGCACGGTTTCCCAGCATAGGGGCCCCTTCCACTGCTTTAATTGGGGGTTCACAGTGCCTGAACTAAAGGTTTTTTGGAGGTGAGGTGCCCTTCTGAACACATCAGTTCAAGGATACTGTTATGTGGGTAGCAAGCAATGTGAAGAAAACACTGGAGGTGCTTGAAAGGAAAGTTCAGTAAACAAACAGCAAAACACTGCATCAAAAATGCTATTCTGGAATATAGAAAGCTGCCTTCTATAGTCAGTCCATCTCACTTAGTACTGCTTGCACTGACTGGCAATGGCTCTCCAGGGGTTTCAGATGGGAGTTGCTGGAGATTGAACCTGCACTCTGCTGCTGCAATTCATTTTTCTTTAAAAAAGCAAAATTCCAGTCCCATGGTTCTGAAAGCAGAGGCTGAATTAAACAGATACATTGGAAGCTGCCTTTCACTGAGTCAGATATTTGGTCCATCTAGCTCAGTACTGTCTACACTGACTGGCAGTGACTCTCTAGGGTTTCGGAAAGGGAGTCTCTTCCAGCCCTACCTGGAGATGCTGGGGACTAAATCTTTTGCATTCAAAGCAGATGTTCTCCCAGTGAGATACAGCCCCTGTTCTAAGGCACACAGGCCGATACAGCTTCATCAATAAAAAGTCAACGTATCAAGTAAAAACTCCATAATTGGTCAATGACCCTAAATCCACAGCAGGGAACAGCTGAATGTCACAGTGCACCCAAGGAAACCTTATCATCATCTCATTTCGTGACAGCACAGTGTTCCCATCTCAACCTCTTGCACGTGCACACAAAAGCCCTCATCCCTTGTGGCTTGTCCATCTGGTCCAAAACAAACTGTCAAGAGATTTCAGCTTCACCAACAATTCCTCCCCTCCCCAACACACACACACACACACCACCCCTCCCTCCCTCCCTTTGATGTCAAGCCCCCCCCCCCCCCGCTTTTCGCTTAAGGCTCCTCTGTTGCATTACTAGATGCCAGCAAAAGGGAGAAGGGAAGAGGCTAAAGGCATAGGGAAGGCAAAGTCATTAAATTGCTGGAAATCATGTCCACAGTGACAGGTGTATCTCCTTCTTGGATTGGGGAAAAGGTGGGCAGGCAGGCAGGGGCTGCTAAAGAACTTTGGGGCTGTGGGCTACTGTCCCTCCATAATTATTCATTTTAAAAGTATTTCAACTAGTTACCCTACAGCTCTCTCAACAGCTCAGGCCAGCTCATGATGAAATTTAAAATAGGAAAGAAACAAGATATGAATAAAACACAAGAACAGCCACAAACCAATTCATCAGAGAGGGCTGCACACCACCCAGTTCTCACTCTGACTTGACCCATGGTTTCATTGTTATGTCAATCCAGGTAATAATTCTAATTAATTAACCAATTAATCAAACAACTACCCCCCCCAAAGAAACCTGATGCAGTTACATTGGCATTAACTCATGGAACCTCCCTGTACTGTTTTGTGTAGGTTCTTTAAAGGCAGGAACAGAAAGCCTGCATTTTCAAGTATAATTTGCATTCCTAGCACCAAATACAGAATTGCCCACTCATCCCAATGCAACTTGGAGATGTTCTGCTTCCAAGACTCACCGGTCCACCATCAGGATCCCGGATGTAGCCATAAGCTATTGTCTTGTTGATAGCATGTCCAAAGTCGGCCCTACGGATGTGCCCAACAGCTTTGCCATTCCTGAAGATGGCCTCCAAACCAAACATTGGCACTTTTCTGGAGAGAGCAGAGAAAGCTATTAGGTAGAAAGGCATCAGGTATGATGCAAGTTTATGGCAGAGGGCAAATCATGTCAGAAACTTGCCTTTCTGCAAATTCAGGAACTGAGGAGAGAGACTAGAGCATCGAATAAACAAACATTTGCAAGTATCCAACACAAGATCCTCTCCCAGCTTTATCATTTCCCAATTTCACAAAGTAATGTGTCAAAAGGTTGGATGCAATTCAGGGGCACGTTTTGAAATCTTTGCTTCGGTATTTCAAGTGCTGCTGGCATCTCCTGTTCCTTTTAGAAGGCTTCGGATATGAGATCTGTCAGCTGTCAGAAACAGTCAGTGCTAAAAAGTGCTGAACACTAGCCATCAAACTTGTTCAGAAATTAAAATACCCATGATGCTCCCACTTCTAAATAAAGGCAATTGCTAAACTACATGAAACGTGAACCATCAAAAACGTCCAGTCCTTCAACACTAGCAGCGTCACACCCAGTATGTTGCCCAGGAATTCTAAGAAATGCAAAAGTCAGTGCATTTTTTAAATCAGTGATTAAAATTAGGGCAGTTTTGAAAGGTTTGGTCTGCCATCTTGATTCAAAATGGCATCCAACTGGATCCAAATATAGTTAAAAACTGGTTCAGGAACCATTGTGCAAAATTTGGTTAAAATCAGGGTAGTTTTGAAAGGTCCCGTCCATCATCTTGATTCAAAATATTGTCCAATTGTACCCAATCACAGATGGAAACCTGATTCTCAATATTATGAACTATCAAGCAAAACTTGGGGGGGTGGTTCTGTGAATTGGTTTTACTTAAAGTAGATCCATTACAAATCAGTGGAGCTAAGTTAAAAATGTGCATCAGCTTCAATGGGTTTACTCTGAGTAGAAATAACATGGACTAGCCTGTTGCAGATTTGATTCCAATTATAGGATACCTAATAGAAGTAGCAGTTCTAGATTCAGGTAAGTACCCATGTTGGTCTGACACAGACGAAATGAATAAATAAAAATTTAAAACATTCTCCAGTAGCACCTTAGAGACCAACTAAGTTTTTTCTGGGTATAAGCTTTTGTGTGCATGCACACTTCTTCAAGATAGGAAGTAGCAGTTGTTTTGCAAAGATCTGGAGAGGTTTTGACATTGACATCTGCAGAGGGCAATGAAGGAGGCTGATCCATCTCAGTATTGTCAACACTGACTCTTCAAGGTTGCAGGAAGGGACATTCCCAGCCCTGCCTGGAGATGGTGTGGAGTCCACACTTCTGCCTGGAGAGCCATGTGCTCTACTAGCTGAGTGACAGTCCTTGTCCTTTTGCAAATTAGAGAGGCCTGAAGGCCAACTTGAGAGTCTGATCCGAAATGTTGAGCTAGATGCCATCAGATGCATGCAACTGCCTACCAGTGGCTACTCACTCATCAGTGGTGAAGCAGACAAGGCGGCGGAATATTCCAGCTGCTTTCTGAGCCTCAATGGCTTCCCGCCCAAGGAAAGGGGTGTGAGTTTTGAGCTTGCATGTGAAAGCAAGGCCAGCTTCTAGGGGAGTATCATCAGGACGGAGGTCTGCATGCCAGTGCCTATAGCCTGAGAAGAAACACAACAGCCACAGTCAGACCACATAGAGATGACTCCCTGGCAATGGAAGGTAAACTCAGAAAGTGCCCAGTTTTTTGACATGCTCCCTCGGACCATCCTTATAGGACAATCAGGTTTCATCCAAACCCATTTTGAGAGACATTGGGCTTCATCCAAGCCTATTCTGAGAGAGACAACTTCCTACCAGCCCACCAAATCCATGTTTCCGGCACCTAACCTACTCAGAGCAAAAGCATGTCACAAATGTTACATAACAATTACAACTACTAATATTAAATAGCAACAATAATAAAATATTGGGGGGGCAGGTAATCAATCACATGATGTGGTGCATGTACATCATTTGAATGGCAATGCCCAGCAACTCTAAGGGCCCAGCCCCCTCAAATATTTTATTGGGGAAGCTGAATACAATTTCAGTGATCTAGAACCACCAGAAGCTGCTATTTATCAAGTCAGACCAATAGTCTATCTAGCTCAGGAAGAAGCTTTTCCCAGGTAAATGGGAACTGAACTTGGGACATTCTGCATGCACAGCATGTGCTCTACCACTGAGCTATGACCCTTCCCCTAAGAGCTATGGCATCTCTGTGATCATAAGTAGCCTGAGAAATGGGGAAATAATCAATCAAGTCTGGAAAACAGGAATGGAATGAGGGCAAAGAAGTCTGTGGCCTCCATTATGACTGTGGGCTCTTGGCATACACACAGAGAGAGATTCAGACACAGCTGCCAGTAGAGTTTGAATCAAAGCAGCTGTTGAGAAGGCTTAGCCTAATCCAAAATGGCAACACTCAAATAATGTTCAGAGGGGAAATCTGATTATCCAGTTATTATCCAGGTCTGGGTTTCAGTGGCATCTTCACTCCATGACCACAACTAGTCAGGAATTCCAGCAGGATTTCAAGACAAACTGAAAACATGAAAGCAGGGGTGGAGAAACCTGTGGCCCTTCAGATGTTCGAGGACTCTAACCCTCATCAGATCCAGCATGGCCAACTGTCAGAGATGATGATGGGAGCTGAAGTCCAACAATGTCTAAAAGGCATCATGTTGTCTACTTTTGCTTCAGAGGGAACCTCTGCGCCTTCAGATGCAGATGGACTGAGCATGGCCAATGGTCATGGATTATAAGGGCTGCCTAAAATCTAGAGGGTCATAGGTTCCCCCTCCTTGGGACCAAGAAGTCCCAGGTTCATCAATCCTTGGGATCTCCTGGAAGGGCTTGGAAAACATGGATAGTCAGTATTAGCTGGCCTTTCCCATTCTGCTGCCATCTAGATCTTAATGATTTTCCAAATCCCATCAGTCCCAACCAGCAAAGCTAATAGGCAGGGATGATAAGAGGGCATTGAGAGGGCAGTGCAGGACCCCCAATATCTGAACTAGATAGAAGTCTGTCTCCAGGCCATCACTGCAGATAGAAGCAAGGACTGTCCAAACACCTTTTTCAATGCTGAGAGAGTCGATGGCCCTGTAGCCAGCATTGATGATGCCATGCCTGGCGCCAGCCTTCATAACTGACCGGTAGACCCTCACACAGTGCTCCTTGGGGACATGAAGCTCCCAGCCCATCTCTCCCACAAACGACAGCCTCATGGCACGGACCTGAGAAGGAAGAAAATAGGAACTTAAAGAGGAACTTGGATGCTGGATAAGGTCACTGGCCCATCTAGCTCAACACCCTGTTCTCACAATGGTATTGTTGTTTTCCCATCCTTGCCTTAGTTTTGAAGTGGCCACTTGGGAATGGCTTTTCATTTATTCCAAATATCACCTCACCAGTAGCCTGACCTCTCTGCAGCCTCACTGGGTGCCAGCACATCATTTAAAGCCTGGGGAAGATGTCAGGAAGTTAATTCATCCCACAGGGCAGCCAGGGAGGCTGTGGAGTGCTGGAGATATGGAAGGAAGGAGGGAGGGAGGGAGGGAGGGAGGGAGGGAGGGAGGGAGGGAGGAAGGAAGGAAGGAAGGAAGGAAGGAAGGAAGGAAGGAAGGAAGGAAGGAAAGACATAAAGACATGCCACCCTTGGCCAGCACCCCAGCCTAATGGGAGAATCTGTCCTGTGTCTCAACTTGGGTTTTTATTCAGTGTGTCATGCTCTTCACCCCTTTCGCCCATCTACAGTCATTTTTTTTTCCTTCTAACTTTGCGACAGTTGGCCTACTGGTGCTAGAGACGGGAGATGGCGTGTCACCAGAGCAACTGAGTTAATACAACGGGACACCTCACAGTTGTTTTTCTCCTTCGCTCCTTGCTCTTCTGGTCCTCTGAATTTCCCCACGGGATGTATTTTAAAATAGCAGATTTATTTCCTATCCTTGAGTCCCATCAAACCCCTGGAAGGGAATGAGGCACTGACAATTACACCAGCACAATGGGGGCCTGTCAGCAGCATGACGAGCTCCCCACTCCCCGACCACCCGGAGGAATGGAGCCGTCAGCCCTGCTGATTTCCAAGCCTTCCTCCGGAGATGATCATTTAACACGACACGTTGCATTAATCTAGATTAGCCAGATGAAATATTCATGGGCTCCTAAGCGGAGGATAGCTGTTCAAATCCGTTTATTAAGGACAGGGAACAAAGCGAGACATGGAAGGAAGTGTCAAGTTATCAGCTTTGATTGGCCATGTGGAGAGTCCCTCAGCTGTCAGAGAATATAAGAAGGGCCTGGCTGCTGGATCAGGTGAATGGCCCATTTCGTCCAGGATCCAGTTCTTACAGTGGCCAACCAGATGCCTCTTCTGAAAAGCCCTCAACGAGGACCCCACCATCTGGCATCCAAAGGTAGACTTTCTCTGGGCATAGAGGTCCTACTATCACAATAGATCAATCAGGACAGAGGGTCCGCTGTTCTGCTACAGTGGACAACCAGATACCCCAGTTGGAAACCTGTAAGCAGGACCAGCGCACAAAAGCAACTCTCCACACTTATGTTTCCCAGCAACTGGCATTCAGAGGCAAACAGGTAGAAACATTTATGAAGGACCATGCTCAGTTATCACCAGCTTCAGCCAAAAGGATCTTGGGTCATAAGGGTCTCTAGGAGAGCTCCTGCCAGTCAGATCCAGCAACACTAGTCTATGCAAGCTCAAGAACCTGGTGGCAGCTTTCTGCATCTATCCTGACAGCAGCCCCCCAAAGCCACATGCTTTCCAATGACTCTTCAGCTCTGTGACATGTGGCAAAATAACTGCAGCTTCTCCTCTCCCAGCCCTGCTTTCTGAGCTTAACCTCTGAAAATTTAAAGAAAGGGTTAATTCTTTTCCAGCCTCCCACCCACCTACAAAAAGCTCTGAACATTCACACCCCTCCTGATTAGATTGTCAACCTTCAGAAATGCTTTGCTGCGCCACTGAGAGTGTGACAGCTCCCAGCCAAGGCTCTATTGTCAGGGGAGCTCAAAATAAACCCACAATCCGCTTTCAGTTTCCCACCCCATGGCTGCTGAGGGAGTTGCTCTTTTGAGCAGAGAATTCTACTCTAGTAGCTTTTCATTTTAGACATGTCTTTTGAGAATTAACCCCCACTCCTCGTTTGTCTTTTTTAAGCCCACCAACTTCAGCGTCTCTCTTCACTAGGCTTTAGCCTGTTCCCCGTCCAATTCCTGGCCATGTTTTAACAAGGCAGGAAGAAATTCAACAGGGGTAGCTCTGCTTATGGCTCTATATCCATCCTGATAAAAGAACAAGCAGACAAATCACACCACTTAATTCTGTTCAAGGCAAATCCTCTGCCAGAGGAAAATTATTTTGCCAGCTATAAGGCAATGGAACAGAGAGAAGTGCCTTATACCAAGTTAGATCTGTGGTCCAGCCAGCTCTATATTGTCTGCACTAATTAGCAGTGGCTCTCCAGGGTTTCAGGCAAGAGTCCTCCCCAGTCCCACCTGGAGATGATGGGGGTTGAACCTGGCGTCTTCTGCATGCAAGGCAGATCATCTACCAATGAGCTATGATCCTTCCCACTGCATACAGAGAATGAGGATAAGGAAAAGGGAGTCTCTATTGCATTTTTAAATGACTGCAATCCACATGCTAGGACCTTATGGTGCAGGTCGGGTTATGAAATATTAATAATAACAGGAATACAAGAATGGGGACTTTTCAGTGGTGGCTCCCTACTTATGGAAAGCTTGGGGAGGTTCATCTGGCATCCAAATATATGCAATGATGGTGCCAGGTAAAAACATTCCAATTTCATCAGGCTTTTTGCACAGGTGGGATGTTTTAATGTAGTTTTTTTAAAAAAAAATCTTTTAATTTGTTGGGTTTTTATGCTCATGTTGCATGTTTTTTGTTTTGCATAAAATATTGTAAGTTGCTTTGAGTTGCTGTGGCAAAAAAACAAATCCACACTGAGATCCCTACCGTGCAGCCTGCAGCTTTCACCAGTTTGTGAGTGGAGAAAGGGAAGGCTTCATTGCTGAGGTCCGTCTCCAGGACTTCCTGCAAGACAGCGCGGCTGTGAGGAAGGAGAGGAACCCTGGTGAGGAGAAGATGACGACCAACTGCCAGGAATCACACACACACACACACACACACACACACACACACACACCCTTCCAACATTCCCCACAATCCCTGCCATGAGGGCCAGCCTGAGGCAAAGGGCAAGCTGACAGCTTTCACATTCCACACCCCAAATGGAAAGCAACTACCATGGGCCTTCAAATTTCTTCCACTTTGGCCAATGATCCATCTCACTGTCTGCTGGGAAGGTGCCTTCCATGTACTCTTTTTAGTACCTGCTGAAAACATTCTTGCTTAGACAAGCCCACCTAGATGTTTAGAATGTGGATGTGTGTTTTAATATATTTTTTAGTTTGTCGCTGATCTTCATTTTTTAATGTTTTAAATGGTTTTACTAATAATTTGATTGTTTTGTTCTCTTTTTAAACTGTTTTTTTTGGGGGGGGTCTCTTTTACAGTCAGGTGCTGTGCAAATGTCATTAAATAAAATGAGTAAGCAAATGTTAAAATGACATGGGCCAACTCCAGCAAAATCCATAGAGTGTTACATACATACATCAGTCATGTATAAGAAGGAAAACTGAGCGGGGGCAACGTCAAATAACTGGATCATTGAATGCCTTGCCAAAGCTTCAATTCTATATGACATAGCCTATCCATATGTAAGCATGAGAAGCTGGAGGTCTGACACTGACATCACTTCTGTTTGCATAGCTAATACAGGGGACCATCCCTTGCCAGATGATTATGTTTAGTTTGGCCTCTGACACTTCTGCTTTGTGTTAGATGTTAGGAAACAGCCAGATCCCATAAGAGCATAAGAGCCCACTGGATCAAGCTGATGTCCCATCTAGTCTGTTCCCACACAGACCAAAGAGATGCCCCAATGAGAAACTAGCAAGCAAGACCTGAACACAACAACATCCCCTCCTGCAGTTTCCAGTAACAGGTAGGCAGAAGAATCACTGCTCTGACCATGGAGGTGGAGCACAGCCACTGTGGCTTGTAGTCATTGATAGCCCTCTCCTCTTCCATGAATTTGTCCAATCCTCTTTTTAAAGTCATCTAGGTTGGTGGCCATCTCTTCCTCCTGTGGAAGTGAGCTCCATAGTTCAACAACATGCTGTGTGAAGACGGACTTTCTTTCTCCCAAACTTCCCCTTGCCATCCCATCAGGCATTAGGCTTTAAGGTCTTCCCGATAGAGGGCAGTCTCCAAGCTGACAGCAGTAAAGAGCATAGCTAACTAGCCCCAACTCATTCCTGTTTTAAATGGAATTCTCCAACACCGCTTCTCAGAATGTGGCTTCAGAGCATGGGAAGGGATTATTAGAATCATAGAATCGTAGAGTTGGAAGGGACCCCAAGGTAGGAATGTACCCCAAGGCAAGAATCTCAACTAAAGCATCCATGACAGATGGCCATCCAACCTCTGCTTGAAACCTCCAAGATAGAGTCCACCACCTCTTGTGGGAGAACTTTCCACTGTTGAACAGCAATTACTGTCAGAACGTTCTTCCTGATGTTTAGCTGATGTTTCTTGTAACTTGAAGCCATTGGTTCAGGTCCTCCCCTCCAGAGCAGGAGAAAACAAACCTGCTCCATCTTCCATGTGGCAGCCCTTGAAATATTTGAAGGTGGCTATCATAACTCCTCTCAGTTTCCTCTTTTCCAGGCTAAACATACCCAGCTCAACTGTTCCTCATAAGGCACGGTTTCCAGACTTTCCTGCTAACATTGAAAATCTCAGTTCCTCCATAATCTGTGGTAATGAGTGCTCACTTTCTTTAAACATGCCAGGAAAGCTTTTGAGGATCTTCCCGTCCCACCCTGAATAAGCTGACACAGAAAAGTGACAGGAGCCAGAGATTATCTTTAGTGGACCAGGATATTTTGGGGCCCACTGAGCATAGGGTTCCTTGGCACATCACAGACGCCAGCGCACCAAGGCTGACAAGCAATTGCTGTCCCCTGAGGATCTGCTCTGGGCTGAGGAAACAGGGTGCCATTAACACAGCCATGGGCAGCATTATGAAAATGAAGGGCGTGAATGCAAGGATAATGAGTGGAAATCCTCTTAGACTCCAGTTGCAAAGCTTTGCCTGCCCTACAAATGTGCCATCAAAGAGACAGCTGGCAAAAAAGGGCCCTCAGAAAGCTAATCAGGAGGAAAAGGAAAGCTCCAGAGAGACATGATACGTGCTCCACAGGGAATCTCTTGACCGATTTTGGGAGAGTATCAGCTTTGCATGGAGAAGGTCCCAAGGTTCGATCCCCAGCGGAATCTCCAGGTAGGGCTGTGACAGGCCTATGTCTGGAATCCTGGTGGGCTGCTGCCAGTCAGCATAGATAATACTGAGCTGGATAGACCATTGGTCTGACTTGAGATAAGGCAGCTTCCAAGAGTTCTCTTGAAAGAGGGATCAGCTGTTAAACCACTCTGGGAACAGTAGCTCTCTGAGGGGAACAGAGGTCTCCTTGCAACTCTCGGCCCCCTGACAAAACCACAATTCCCAGGTTCTTTGTGAGAAGTCATGCTTGCTTAAAGTGATACGAAACTGCTTTGAACATATAGTGCAGACAGGATCTCAGGATGCAAAATTAAGCAGCTGACAAGATAATCAATATGCTCCTGAGGAATACTGAGGACCAAAGGAAGGTGTGTGTGTGTGTGTGTGTGTGTGTGTGTGTGTGTGTAAATGCATGTGCAAGAGAAGGGAGCAAAGGAAAGGGAGGAGGCCACCACCCCACTTTTCCTAAATAGCATTTGTGAAGCCACCATAATTCTGTAGTTATAAGAGCATAAAATATGTCCTGCTGGATCAGACCAAAAGCCCATTTATTCTAGCATCCTGTTTTCTCAACATCTAACCAGATGTCCCTTATGGGCAGGATCTGAGCACAACAGAAACTCTCCCCACTTGAAAATCCCAGTGGAAGAAGAACATAAGAAGAGCCTGGGTGCTGGATCCAGCCAAAGGATGCCCATCTCATCCCATCTTCTCAATAGGAACTCCACAAGCAGGAGCTGATATGGGTACTTTCCGTCTAAGACCATCCCCAAACTAGAAATTTACAAAGCCCTTTTGATCAATTTCTCAAACTCATTGAAATCCATTTAACTGCTGCCAAAAAAAGATCAGCGGGTATTTCACCTGAGCAGGTACATTAAAATTGAGGGTGAGGGGGCGTTGGCTCTTGAGATTTTTTTTAGAGCTTCCAAATCCAGAGCCCCATGGAACAGAGGAAACAGTCTTATATCTAGGACTCAGCTACACAGGTCAATTTACAGGTAGGTGCTGGTCTGCTGGAGTTGAAACAAAATTAAAAAATTCCTTCCAGTAGCACCTTAGAGTCCAACTAAGATAGTTATTGATATGAGCTTTCGTGCGCATGCATACTTCTTCAGATACCAATTTATAACATTAAAAATGCATTATAAAAATGTGACACCAGATGGTGCTGTAGAGCAGAATCCAAAGTCAATGGCGGATTGCTTTGGGAGCGTTTTCTCCCCTATAGCATTTTTCCCCCCATAGTGTTTTTATATATCTGTATAGATCCAGCCCTATTCAGGCTACTGAGTTACATCTAGCTCAATATCATCTACTCAATATTGACTGGCAGCATCTCTCCAGGGATTCAGAGAGAAGTCTCTCCCAGACCCACCTGGAGATGCCACTGGGGAATGAACCACCAAGTGTGTACAATAAATATCCTAATTTATTCAGTCATGGGTTAAAAAGAACAACCAGACTACCCCGGGTCCATTTCCCACCTGTGACTCTCACCTGTATGGTCCCTGGATGCTGATCATTCCAAGCTGTTCTGACTGGTCAATCAACTGGCACTGGAACTTCTTGTCCTGCAGGACTGTCATGATATGGGACCAGTTGTGCTGTGCTACTGCTCCCCCAATTGCAAGGTAGTAGCCATCCCCTAGGAAGAAGGACAGGTAATATTAAATAGGCATCTTGCTGCTTATCTACTACAGAGTCTGGTTCAAGGTCCTTGTATTAATTAACAAAGCCCTGAACAGCTTAGGTCCAAGGAACCTCAGGGATCCCCTGAGTCCCTCTATTCCAGCTCCATCACTGAAATCATCTGCAAGAGTGCCGTTTGTCGTACCCCTGAGTTGGCGAAGCTTGTTTGACAAGAACAAGAAAATGATCCTTGACTGTCATTCCTGTGAAATGCTCTGCCAGTAAAGATTGAGCAGGTGCTTTCTGTGCCAACTTCTAAATGCCTGTTGAAAACTTTACTATTCCACCAGAACCATGCGAGCAATAAAGAGTGCATCCTTCCACAATAGTCAACTGATGCTTGCTTTTAACTGTTTATGGTTTTATTTTATGGTTTTATTGCTGTAAACCACTTTAATATTTTTAAAAATGATATAGCAATATACAAATACTTTTATAAATAAATGGGTTCAGCAGTATCTGGATTCCGATTTGTGGGGCAAGGTCTCCATCTGTCAGAAAGAGAATATGGACTTACCTGAATCCAGAGAGGGGTTTCCATCTTGGATGTGAGTCCTGGAAGACCTGCTTCCTGCCTTGCAGGCTTTTCCCCACCTAGCCTGGGAAGGTGTGTCTGCAAATAACTCCAGCTACAAAAGCTGAGACTGCTGAATAGATTTTTTGTGTTGGAGCATTGTTTAGGGTTGGGGGGGCAGGGGGCTGTTCTTATTTATATTATTTTTTTGGTATCTTTATATTTAGATCTCACTATGATTTAGGTGGAAATTGTTCAACCTGGTGTACTTGTAGATGTGTTTTATTGCTTATGACTATTTTGTGTCACATTCATTGCTCCACCCACTCTTGCCTCTCATCCCACCCACCACAGGTATGTGGCCCCAGAAGCATGGAGGGTGAGAATGTTGTCATCTTGGATGCTTTCTCAGTGGGCTTCCTGAAAGCAGCCATCTCTCTGGCACTGGGACCAGGATGCTGAATTTGCCATGCCTCAAGAGCAGGCAGTTGGTGCCCAGTGGAGCTGGTGGGGTGGAATGCAGGGAGCCCAGCAGGGAGCCTTAACCAATGGCAAGGAAAGCCAGCTTAATTCCAGAAGACCCTGATGAATCTAGACATTATCCTACTGTCTCCATGGCCAACCAGGTGGCCCTAAAGCAGGACCCAAGCACAAGAGCACTCTCCCCTACCCACTAGTATTCAGAAGCATTGCTGCCTTCAACAATGGAAGCAGAACTTAAGAGCGAAATGTCAACCAAAAGCCTATCTTGCCCAGCATCCTGTTCTTACAGTGGCCAACCAGATGTGCCATTGCAAAGCCCACAAGCAGCACCAGAGCACAGCAGCACTCTCCTTACTTGTAATTCCCAGCAATTCAGAGGCATACTGCCTCAGACAGCAGAGGGAGGACATAGACATAGTGGCTAGTGTCCATCAGTAGCCCTCTATGTAAGTTGTTGGCCATCATTGTCTCCTGCAGGAGGGAGTTCCACCGTTTAACTATGCACTGCATAACAAAGTCATTTTTTATTTGTCCTGAACCTTCCAACATTCAGCTTCATTGGATGTCCACAATTTCTGGTGTTCCGATAGAGAGAGAAAAACATTTATCTACCTGCTTTCTCAATGCCATGTATTATTTTATTTCCACCAGGTAGCATTTTCTTTCTTTTGTCCCTATCCTTCTCCCAGGGCAACACAGGGGGATGTGCACACACCAGACAGGTAAAGCACATTTCCCCCAAAAGAATAATGGGAACTGTAGTTTAAGCATGCTGTGAGTTATAGCTCTGTTGGGTAAACTACTGTTGCCATGTGGGGAAGACTGGGGCTTTGAATGTTCTGTAAATGTATGATGTGTGTGCAGTCTGAGACTAAGAGGGAGAAAGAAGATGAACATCAGGTCCACCCTCAAGACAGAGGGCAGGGAGGTGGGAGTGGCTGAGAGCAGGCTGAGCCCTGTTAGCCCCAGTGAGTCAGCCTCCACCAGGCTTCATCTAGCTGAGCTCCTTTTTACATCTGGACTCTCCTTCCTTGAATGATTTCCAGCAGCAATTGGATGGCCATCTGTCAGGGATTCTTTAGCTGCGATTCCTGCATTGCAGCAGGGGGTTGGTCTAGATGACTCTTTGAGCCCCTTCCAACTCTCCAATTCTGTGATGTAAGGTCAAGTAACGCACGCTCCCTCCAGCTACCCATTTTAGCTTGCCAGTAATTGTGCAAATCCACTCACCGGCTGATTTATTTTTAATTTGTCCTTAATTGTTCCAAATAAGGGCTGTAGGAGCAGTCACGGGTGCACCTACCCGCCAGCCCAGAGACAGTAGATGCAGCAAGGGTTGACAGAAACTCAATAAGCACCTTTCAGTTTGCAAAAAGGCCTCAAAGGAGGAGTGTTTAATTAGGTTATGCTGGCTGCTGGATGGAGACTGGGGGTGGGGTGGGGGGAGACATGGCCAGCCTGGTGTCTAGTCATAGGTAATGAAATCACCATTCACACCAGCCACCTGCCATCCAAAAAAATTAAGGAGGCTGTCATGTCAAGGTCCAGGACAGAAAAAGACGTGACTTGCATTCTCATTCCTGCTGTGCTGAGAATGACTTCATTTGGGCCTGGTGTGAGGGAGAGTAAGGGAGGAGGGTGACTCCATCAAGCCCCCTCCTGTCATGATTTCCAAGTGTCATCAAGACTCAACTGTGGGGCTGGAGCTGCCCGTTCCCTCCTGGCCTAGCTGTTGGCACCAGTTCTATGCTCCTGGATCTGATTTTGTGGATGGGGGGAGGGTAGGGTGCTTCAGTGGGTGGAAGACTGCTCTTTATCAATGGCAAGACAGCCAGAACCACCACTGACATCAGCTGCAACTTTTAAGAATGGTAACCTTAAAAACCTGGCCTGGTGCTTGCTTTCCCCTCTTCCCTCCTGCTCCTTTTTCCTCATGTGCCATGTCTCTTTATAGTTTGTGAGCCCAAGAGATCAGGGAACCATCTTAAAACTGATTTCTAAAAGTCTTCCTGAAAACCCATTTTTGGCAAGACGGCTCTTGCACTAAGCACTAGAATTCTCACCCACAAGAAGCAGTGATGGCAATCAACTTGGATGGCTTTGGAAAAAAGAGGACTAGACTAATTCATGGAGGAAAGGGCTTTCAATGGCTGCTAGTCATGAAGACTGTGTTTCCCCTCAGCTGTCAGAAGAGAGATTCAACAGACAGGCTCTTATGTCCCCTGGATTGCTGGGACCTGCCCACCTCCAGACCCCACCATATGTTTCAAGAGCTGCCCACCCAGCTCCTGTCCACACCAAGACTTCTGAAATATACTCGGAGTCATGCTCTTTATTCAGCTCGTGGTAGCAATGAATGAAACTTTCCCCAAAACGTCTAGCTATATATACATTATTTACACAATGGGTCCCCCGTGATTGGCTAATTCCAGGCTGCTCCTGTAGGCCAATCAGGTTGTAGATTCACTTTCTCCAGGAGCCTGATTGGCTGCTCCTGCAGGCCAATCAGGTTGCTAATTCACTTCATCCAGGAGCCTGATTGGTTGCTCCTGCAGGCTAATCAGGTCGCTGATTCACTTCCACCTGGAGCTGGATTGGGTGGCTCCTGCAGACCAATCAGACTGCTGCATTCTGGATCCTATTGTTCTAGGATTCAGCTCAGTGCATAACAACTTCCAATCTAACTGCAGCTCTACTCAAACAGAGTGCTAAGAAAAACCAGCATCTAATTGGTTTAAAATGATCAAGGATCAGTGTTGTTGCCATTGCAGTTTTACCTTCAAAGGCGGGTGCCAGTGCAGAGTCCTGTGTGCCGGGGTCTATTGCACTAACGGTCAGATCGCTTTCGACTCCCCCACGCATATTCAGCATGCAGGTATAAACTGTTGCTCCTGAAACAGAAGCCCCAGATCTTTTTTTATCCCCAGATCATTCCATAAAAGCAGCATTTGGAAGCAGGAATGTATGCATATGAAAAGTCATTTAAAACTCAGAAAGAATCCAGAGAGAGAAGCCCTGATAACACTTTACTGGGAAAAGCAAATGAAAACAGGGTATTAATGTGAGAAGAAAGGAATGGAGAGGTTGGCCTTGTACACAGCATATATTTAGACATTCAATCAAACGCACAGAGGGGGGAAAAAACTCCCTCAGAACTACAAAGCCAGTCAGAGCATGTGCTAACTCAGTAATGTCATGCCACCCTTCCTGGTTGCTAAGCAACACTTCTACTTGTACCCCTCTTGGCTAGCTATCTAAAAAAATTAACCCTTAGGCTACAAAGTGAAGGATCCTTGCCTTTGCTCTTCCATTAGGGGAGAGGGGGTGTAGGGGAAACAATTCCATTAGGATTTATCTGAATTGTTCAATAACTAAACAGTTTCCTTTTAGCTGAGGTAACAATTAGATGAAACAAGACAGAAATGGATTTGAAAGATGAGAAAGGAAATTCCAACCAAACATTAGGAAATGCTTTGTGACAGTAACAGCTGTTCAGTAATAGAATGAACTCCCTCAGAAGGTGGTGGACTCACCTTCATTGGAGGTGTTTAAAGAGAAGCTGTTGGGGATTCTTTAACTGTGATTTATGTGATGCAGGGAGTTGCGCTAGATGCCCAACAGTACAATTCTATGATTCTGGGACTTTAAAAATGGGGTGAAAGGCAGATGTAATATGAGGAAAAATGAGTAAAAGTTTTTATGCATCTCCCTTAAAAGCACACACACACACATTTCTTTCCTGGTGGCCTTGATTTCCAATAGGACTGTGTGCCGAATTCAGTCAAAGCCTGAATCCCGAACTGAATAGATTGTGATCTCCTGTAGTTAGTTGCTAAGAGGCATACTTCCTCTGAGAGAGGAAGCCATCCCAGCCACTGCAATTGCCACTGGTAGGCTTGTGCTCCCATGAATTCGTATAATCCCCTCTTAAAGCCATCACAAGCAGAGCCAAATCAACACAGGCTGCAGCTCTCAAAGAGATGCCTGCGTCCTTTGGGGTATTCAAACCTCCTCCCGGGCACAGAGCCCTTTGTTTGAAAGCAACCTCCCCTGCTTGATTGGCAGAAGCCTTGGCTGAACGTTATCATTAACTGGGAGGGGATTATGTGCCTGATGCAAGAGAAGGCATTGATGACATTGGCAGCACCAGCAGAACACCGCTGGAAATAAGCGGGTGGGATGGTGGGGACGGGGGGGGGGTACCTGGAGGCTTGGAAACGTCAGCCGTAAACAGCCAGTCAGCTGCCCTCTTGGCCTCTGGGCCGACGAGGTAGAATTTCCCAAAGTAAGACATGTCGAACACCGCCAGGGCATTTCGGCAGGTTAAGCATTCGTTCCTGATCTAAAACCGGGGAGGGAAAGAAAACAGAGCCATGGGGTGATGGGGGCACATGGCAGGCAGGCTTGGTCACGTTGAAAGGGAGAATCAAGGGGCATGTAAGAAGTCGCTCAAGGTAACAGGAGAAGAAAAGAAAAGGGACCTGTGATTCATGCTTTTTATATCTTAAAAAGAAAAACAACAGATATTCCTTGGATTATTTTTTTTCTTCAAAAGTTACACCCACCACAACAATGGCTCTTTTCCAGTGCTTGGCATCCCGTAACTCATTTCTGTGTGCAGTGACATCTCATCAGACTACCTATTAGACATCTTTCTTCCCAAAGAACTCAGACCTGAATCACTTTTGATTTTATGTTTCAACAGCTAAAGGTTCCCTTCCACCCCCACCCCCCAAGATGCTGTGCTGGAAGCTGTTATACAAAGAGCCAGCTGTGAAACCCCCTCCCATAAAGGATGCTGCTGTAGCAACGAAGTTTTAAAAAGCCTCAATTGGCACCAATAGAGGATTTTAAAAAAGCTCTAGTTGGCTCCAATGGAGGCTTTTTAAAAGCCTGATTGTGGTGCAGTCCTGAGGGATGCCAGCAAGCCTGAGTTCGTCTGCCAGAATATCCCAGGTTCAAATCACTGCATCTCCAGGTGGAGATGGGAATGCCCCTTACCTAAAGACTCCCCCCTCCCATTAGAAGCCCCTCTTGGCAACAGGACCACTGCATCCTCCTCCAAGGGCATTCTACTCACAACATTGTGGTGAGGTGGGAAATCAAATGTGTATTCATCCGACAGCAAGCGGTTGTATTCATAGTCTTCATGTGGGGTTTGGTCATAAGCGCCATAATAATCATATTCCAAAACCTGCAATAATAATAATAATAATAATAATAATAATAATAATAATAATAATAATAATAATAATTTATTTATACCCCGCCCAGCTGGCTGGGTTTCCCCAGCCACTCTGGGCGGCTTCCAACAGAGATTAAAAATACATTTAAACATCAGTCATCAAAAACTTCCCTAAACAGGGCTGCCTTCAGAAGCCAAAATTAGCCAAACCCATCTCTCTGGGAATTCTGCCCCTGGTGGGTTGGATGCCAAGGATTGGGGTTTTCCAATCCTTGGAAACCCCAAAAGGGCCAAGATTGGGGGAAAACACACACCCATACATTTAAAGTCAGAGGGCAGTCTAGGACAAGACTGGGGTGAGGAGGACATTATGCAGATCATCCTTCTCACATTAATGGGGAGACAGGCTGGTGCAAATCTGCAAGCTCCTGGGGCAAAGAGCAGCACAGGAAAACAGGCAAAAGAGACTTTAGGGTACCTCATAGTGGTAGTGCTAGAGGAACAAAGGTCACATGTGGAGACATGATGTTTCACGATGCTCCTCCTTGGTATTACATCCCTAAATTTTGTACTTACTGGTGCCTCACTCTTTGGATGGAACCAGCCTGGCCTCTCCCAACCATGTCTCTCTTGAAATACACAACCTTGTTGCAGAAGTTCCTGCAAGAGTCACAAAAATTTGAGTGCAGAGGGAGGAGATGGAGGGAAGAAGAGTGTTAAAAAAAAACCTGAACCCCAACATTCCATTGACCTAGGAGCCATGAAATTAGCCTGTGATCACTCTCATGCTATTGCCTCCTCTTTGCTGTTGCTGGAGCTAATGTTGTTCTAGGCTGAATGCCCCCATAGCGTTAGGGTCTACCTGGGGCCTCTCGCCACAAATATTTTCCCCATACAAAGCCTGCTTGAGGCTTTTATCCCTGCCAAACTGACAACACCCACTTCCCTCGCAGTTGTTGGATGGCTTCCCCCCCCCCCCGAACATCACACAAGCTCAGCTAAGTTGTGTCCAGCAGCTTCACTGCTACCACACCTGTAATGCAACATAGAGGATTCTTCTCTAAAAACAACTTGTGCCACATCCCTTCTGGCCATGAGGGTATACAATGGTGGGTGGCTTGCTCAAATAAAGTATCAGCTTTGGACCATCCATGAGGTTTCTAGATCAAACCCTAGAGTCGTGCAAACACAATCCATTTCAGGACATGCCTGTTTCAGAAGTCTTCCAGCAGAAGCTACCCACATCCCTGGATGCCTCTGTGCCTAACACCCCCATGTCCACCCAGAATTTCTTCCATGAGCTTTGGGTCTGACCTCATGGAGGGGGTCCTTCCTCATATTGCGCCCAGCCAGAGGTTCGTCATATGGGAAGACGACAGAGTAGTTTTTTGCATATGATTCATGGCTCCTTTCCCGGATCCAGCGGTTGTTGTTTGTAAGGGAGTGGTGAAACCTCCTATAGAGAGGTGAACATTTCAGAGACAGACAGAGGCAGACCCAAGTGTTATCTTCAGATGAGGACCAAATGGTGAAATAAAGAGATGAGTGTGCTGTCACCACCCCCATTTCCCCCCAATACCAATTATATTCGGTGGACTGGTCCAATCTGGACATGGGATGAATAAGCAAACACCAGCGATTTCTGCTCCCAGAAACCTTAGTGCGAATGCTCCCAGCACATTTTTAAATGCTGAATTTTGGGGGTTTCAAACTGGGGGTTTTTCATGGAAAATGGGGACAGAGGGGGCAAATATAGCATACCCATCTCATTTCTGTCTAACCTGTTTACTTCTCCATTTGGCTAATACCCGAAGAAGTTTATTAGTAGTGTGTGCATTCAAAATGGAGGAATTTGTTATTTTTTGTTGTTGCTTTTATGGCCCACCTTCTTTGCTCCAAGGAGCTCAAGGTAGCATGCATAGTTCTCTCCCCCCCCCCCCCATTTTATCCTCACAAGAACCCTGTGAAGTAGGTTAGGCTGACAGTGAGTGACTGGCCCATGGTCATGCCCAATGATCTTCATGGCTGAGTGGGGATTCAAATCTTGTTCTTTCCCAAATCCTAGTCTGGCACTCTGAACGCTACATCATGTTGCAGCATCCATGACAAATTAGAGGCATGAGTTGGCGGTCTTGCTGATTTCTTTCAGAACCCAGAAAGATCTCCATCCACAATGGTGTTGGACTTCCAGGAAGGCAGATGGAGGTGGTTGTGGTGTGGAGGGGATTGGTTTCAGTGTTCTGGTTAAAAGGTTCCAAGCATAAGGGGCAGCACAGAAGAAGGAGGCAAATCTAGATATCAGCAAACCATTAGTTGTACAATCAGGGCCATCCCTACCATTAGGCAGGGTGTGGAAAAGTGTCTCTGGTGGCAAATGGAAGCAGCCAATAAGATTCAACTAGTAATAATAGCATAGGAAGCTGCCTTACATGGAGTCAGACCACTGGGTGCATCTAGTTCAATACTGTCTAGGCTGACTGACAGTGACTCTCCAGAGTTTCAGGCATGGAGTTTTCCCCCAGACCAACTCAGAGATGCCATTGGTTAGGGATTGAAGCTGGGGCCTTCTGCATGCAGAGCAGGCTCACTAATCACTGAGCTACAGCCCTTCCCCATCCTTGCCTTGCATCTGGGCCTCCAAGGAGAGCTAACCAGTCTTTTGCCTCAGGCACCAATACATACTTTTAATTTATAACCCCTGCAGAATTTGCAGGGTTCGCAGATTAACAAGGCCATAAGTTCAGGAACAGGATTCTAAGCACCCCTTGAGGAGGCTAATGGTGACAGGCATGCTTATCCTCACACCACTTTTGGTGCTGAGATGCTCTTCCATTGCAGAATCCAAGAGTACATTGCAAAAAGAGGCTGTTGGCAGGTTTTGACACAGAGGTGCTTCTGTGTCTGCTGTTTGAGAACATGCCATTTCCTCTGCTTCGGAACAGCACACCATTAAAATAAATTATGTTTTGAGTTATTGCTGACACCACTCTCTTCCTCTGGAGGTAGGAGGGTACGAGGCACTTGCTTGCTTGAAGGCAGAGACAGACATTACAGGCTGCAGCATCATGGTAGAGTCAGGTCTTCCAGTTTCCAGCTCTTGAACTCACTGTCTGCCTGGCTACCAGCTTCACTTATATACATTGTTCCAACGCTGCCCTCCACACCACTTAGTCATAGTTCAGTGGAAGAGCAGCTGCTTTGCATGCAGAAGGTCCCAGGTTCAATCCTTGATAGCATATCCAGGTAGGGCTAAGAAAGACTTTCTGTCTAGAACCCTGAAGAGTGTCTTCAAGTCAGTGCAGACAACAATGAGATGGAGGGACAATAAGAACCTAAGAAGACCCTGTTGGATGAGGCCAGTGGTCCATCTAACCAACCTCTTGTTCTCACAGTGGCCAACCAGATGCCCATTATGGAAAGCCAGCAAGCAGGACCCAAGAGCCCTCTCCCCTCCTGTGGTTTCCAGCAACTGGGATTCAGAAGCAATGTGAGGCAGAGCATAGCCATCATGGCTAGTAGCCATCAGTAATACTCCCCTCCAACTGTCTGACTAAAGCAGCTTTCTTTAAGACCACAAGCTTAGCATGAGTCAACAGTGTGGTGCATCAGCAAAAGAAGCTAATGTAATTCTAGGCTGCATCAGCAGAAGTATAGTGTCCAGGTCAAGGGACATGTTACTTACCATATTTTTTGCTCTATAAGACTCACTTTTTCCCTCCTAAAAAGTAAGGGGAAATGTGTGTGTGTCTTATGGAGCGAATGCAGGCTGTGCAGCTATCACAGAAGCCAGAACAGCAAGAGGGATTGCTGCTTTCACTGCGCAGCGATCCCTCTTGCTGTTCTGGCTTCTGAGATTCAGAATAATTTTTTTCTTGTTTTCCTCCTCCAAAAACTAGGTGCATCTTGTGGTCTGGTGCGTCTTAGGTAGTTTCATTCTATTGTAATAGTTCCACTATGTTCTGCCTTGGTCAGGCCACACCTGGAGTCCTGTGTCCAGTTCTGGGCACCGCAATTTAAGAAGGATGTTGACAAGCTGGAACCAAGATGATAAAGGGTGTGGAAACCAAGCCTTATGAGGAACAGTTGATGGGGTTGGCTATGTTTAGCATGGAGAAGAAGAGAGTGAGTAGAGATATAGATTCAGGTAGGTAGCCATGTTGGTCTGAAGTAGTCGAAATAAATTTTAAAATTAAAAAATTGTCCAGTAGCACCTAAGAGACCAACTAAGTTTGTTCTAGGCATAAGCTTTCATGTGCAAAAGTATCTGAAGAAGTGTGCACGGACTCTTTGTGACCCCATGCACACTTCTTTAGATACTTTTGCACACGAAAGCTTATACCCAGAACAAACTTAGTTGGTCTCTAAGGTGCTACTGGACAATTTTTTAATTTATTTTGAGTAGAGATATGATAGCCATCTTCAAATACCTGAAGGACTGCCCCATGGAAGATGGAGCAAGCTTGTTTTCTGCTACTCCAGAGAGCAGAATCAAAACCAATGGATTCAAATGGCACGAAAAGAGATTCCAACAAAACCTCAGGAAGAACTTCCAGGTGGTAAGAGCTGTTTGGCCGTGGAACCATTCAAAACCCTGAAAACTAGGCTGTTTGGGGTGTGTGTTTTTTAAAGGGTAAGAGCATGCAGAAAGTCAGATGTTCAATCCTGGAATCCCCCAGGTTATACCCCTGACTGAAATTTTATTTTAGTTCTATTTTACCATGGATTTATTAATGGCCTCCTAAGCAAACATAAGATAATTAGAAATTGTTAAAAACACCAAGAATCAGAAAATACATTTGAAACAGGACCAAAACCCTAACAAGCGGCCACTCAAAGTAAAGACCCATCTATTCAGCTGGCAAAGCCTGTCGGAACAAAAATATCTCCGGTTGTTTCCAGAAAGTGTGGTTGCCTCTGCTTCCATAGGGGCATCCACACTAAAAGCCCAGCTCGTCCAAATTATTGGGGAGCTGCTGCCAGTCAGTGCCGACAATACCAAGCTAGATTTGATGCAGGTGGGTGAGAAGAGAACTATGTATTCCACTCTGGGCTCTGTAGAGCTAGCTTCTCCAACCTGATGCGCTCCAGAACGACAGTTCCCTGAGATTTTTTGATGAAGGGTGATATATAAATCTAATAAATAAATAATAATAATAATAATAATAATAATCAGGATCAGCCAGCTGTAGTCCAAAACCTCTGGAGGGCAACGGGGTATGGAAGGCTGCCTGAACAGATATAATTACTGCATAGCTATAATTTCAACTTGCATCCGACTCCCGGTGATCACACAGAAGCAGAATAGAGGCAATGAGATCAAACTGACAAAGAAATTAATGACGACTATTAAGAGCCATCAATTCCCAGCCATTCGAAAGACAGAAACATCTGTGGAACAGGCCTGCGTTTGTGACGGAACCCACCGGCTGCTGGCAATCCACACTGCTTTGCAACGCAGGGTGAGAAAATCCTATACAGCAACCCCGCTTTCAGGCTCCTACAATGTGGTGCAAAGGTTAGAGCCTGGGAGACCGGGGTTTGAATCCCTACTCAACCATGAAGCCATGACCTTGGACCAGTCACTGTCTCTTAGCTTAACCTACCTCACAGGGTTGTTGTGAGGATTAAATGTGAAGGAGGAGAACCATGCACATCACCTTAAGCTCCTTGGAAGAAAAATGTGGTATATAAATGTAACAAGTAAAAATAAATAAAATATTGCCCTAAAATGTATAACTCTTGGTAAAACTTAACAGTGAGTAAAGTACAAAAATAATAAATAAAATTGAAAGACAAATGTAAAGCATTGTATTCAACCAAGTTCTACCCACAGGAGACTCCATCAGAGCTACTTTGGTCATGTCCACTCACTTCAGTGGGTCTACTCTAACTAACAAGCATTAAGTTACCTAAATGCAACACAACAGACCTCAACACACACCCCAGCATTAAAGACAGATTTTTACAAAATGGAGGCCAAGGTTTTATAAAACATCTGTTGCTCCAGATGTTGCTGAACCACAACTCTCACCAGTCCCCAGCAAGCATGGCCAATGGCCAATGGGAGTTGTAGTTCAGCAGCAGCTGGAGGGCCAAAGTTTCCCCCCTGCTGGCCTACGTGAACAGAAAAGGTTCCACATTGCACTGGAAGGACTACAAAGCTGGCAGCAAAAGAGTCTCATTGGGACGACTGTGTCATAACCTAGGAAAAAACCACTGGACCATCTAGCTCAGGGCAGTCTTAATCACATCTGGCACCGTGGCACAAAGATCCCTCCGTCACCCCCTCCCTTTCCCAGAATTTAGAACTCAGGGCCCAACTTGCAGACCACCTCATAGCCCCAGGAGCCACTACCCACAGAAGACGCTGCCGATGTGGTGGCTGCGGCATGGCTGGCCAGACCGCTGGAACCCTGAGCTCGCTTGCGAGGCTCTGGGGCGCCTCCTCCACTGTCTGACAACGACAGCCCCTGCTGCGGGTGCTCTCGCTGCTGCCCAGCAGCCTGAGCAGTAGGAGGCGGTTGCCACGCCGCCGCCTGTGCCCTGGGGAGTGGTGGGGTGGTGGGCACCGGTGACGAAGGCCCCTTGGGAGCCACACCTGCCACCACCGTTCCCACCACTCCCTCAGACAACAGCAGCTCAGCAGGCAGCGGCTGAGGGGATTCCTGCGGCCGAGGGAGAGGAGGCGGTGGCCCATCAGAGTCGAGAAGCAGCTCCTCATCCACCACAGCCCACGCTGCCACTGCAGAGTACTTGTGGGAGCAGCACAAGCATAAGCAGCATAAGCAGCACCAATGCACCCGTCCGCAGAGGGGGGCAGGCCGAGGAGGGTAGGAAGGAAGGATGGTTGGCAGGGCGCAGCTGGGGAGGCCGCCGGCAAAGCCGCGCAGCTCCCCCACTCACTGGGGCGCCCCTGAGAGGCTGGCACCCTGGCGCAATGAGCCACTAAGCCCTATGGGAAAGACGCCTCTGATCTAGCTCAGTTTTGTCCACACTGACTGGCCGTGTAGAGTTGGAAGGGACCCCGAGGGTCATCTAGTCTCGTGCAACCCCCCTGCAATGCAGACGGAGAATATTCCCACCCCTACCAGGGCAGAAACCAGAACTTTATATATGCAGATAGGACACTCTATGCCTGGCTGCTGACCTATCTTCATACATTAGTCTATGAAAACTGCCTTATTCTGAGAAAGACCATTAGTCTATCTAGCTCAATATTGCCTGCACTGACTTGAAGTGGCTCTCTGGCATTTCAAGACAGGAGCCGTTCCTGGAGACTGAATGTTTGCACACAAAGCAGATACTCTACCACCGAGCTATGGTCCTTAGTCCTTACCCTAGAAAGAAAGATTCCAGTCTTCACAGTCCTGGGTAAAGGGCTCAGAAGAACAAGGATGCAAGAAGCTTCCTTATCCTGAATCATACCATTGCTCCTGCTAGTTCAGGACTCTGTATGCTGGCTGGGGGTTTCTCTGCCATTTGCTGCCTCCTCACTGGAACCCCCTGCCACTGCCAGGACACAGGCAGCATTTATCATCAACTCCATCCAGCACTTTGTGCTCCCTTCACATTGAAGCTGGCAGCCTCAGCAACCTTTTTAAACAGGGTTTCAGACAAGGATACACCCTCAGCCTCACTGGGGAATTGAACCTGGAACCTTCTGTATTCAAGGCAGATTCTCTACGGGGCCAGAGTAGGAAGGTGCTCACCTAATGTCATAACCGTACATGTCCTTTTCAGGATACCCATGGATGATCCAGTGGGCCAGCTCCTTCCCACAGCCACCTCCGAGCATCATTCCTGGAGGGAGCAAAGAGCAAAATTGTGGAAAGACTACAAGCTCAGTTCTAGTACAGAAAATAAATTCCTGAGCTGAGATGTGACTCAGGAGGGCAAGATCTGATAGCTTTACTCTCCTCACATTACTCCTGGATTCCTGAGGGCAACAAAAGGTGTCAAATATTATAGGTTGCATCCAAAGCAAGCTCTATATTCATAGGGAACCCCCTTGCAGTTAATAGTCATGAATCATTTAGGTTCATTCATTTCAAAAGGTGTGCTCTAAGTAGAACTAAGTTGGGCGAGCCAGGCCACACCAGCCTACCCATTCTAGGGGATAGCTCTCTGCTTATGTGTTGGAGGCCCAAGCTGTGATGACTCTGGGGTCAGAGTCCTCAAGAGATGCAGCCAAGGATTCAGAACTGAAGAGGGAACTGCCCTCAGTGCCTACCAGAGAAGTACATAGCGAATCAGAGGCATTCGTGCAAGATGAGCACACAGTGCTAGTGCCTCTCCAGATGGAGCAGAACGTCTGGGGATGACTGCTGCTGAAACACCATTGGCGGTTTGATGGCCTCTCCAGCCTAAGCTCTGCAAGCAGCTGTCCAGAGTGCTGCTGAAGACAGCACTGCAGCTCCTATTGAAGGCTCAGTCTGAAGATGAAGGCTGCTGAAGCAACATCCTGTGGATCTCTCCAGCCTAAGCCATGCCTGGAACTGTCCAGGGGCCTAGCCTCTGCACTGCTCAGGCTCTGGGAAGGGTCGCCTTGTGAGCCACAGACTTTCCAGCTCTCTCCTGCCACTTCCAGGTTCCCAGCGCATAGTGGTGCGCAAGTAGATCAGGTGCAAGTGAGAAGATGCCTGTATATAAATTTAATAAATAGCGGTAGTAGTAATAATTGTAGATCATACTTATGTAGAAGAGAAAGTTTGTCTCTTACCAGCGCTGTTGAAGCCACAGCCCAGAAAGAAGCCTCGGACTTCTGGCGCTTCCCCCATGAGAGGCTTGTGGTCAGCAGTGAATGACTCTAAATCACAGGGGGAAATAATGAAACACAGACTGCTGAACTACCAGTTTCTGGGAACCACAGGAGCAACAAGAGCTGTTGTGCTTAGGCCCTGCTTTATGGCTTCTCACAGGCCTCTTGGCCTCTGTGAGAACAGGGTGCTGGACTAGATGGGCTACTGCTGTGATTTAGCAGCCTGTTCTTCATTTTTAACAAAATAATTGCAATCCCCAGAGAAGACAGGTTAAAAATATTAAAGCATAGACAAAAAGAGGGGGGCAAATACATCAATAACACATTCAAAGTTCTTGGTGTAACCAAAATCTTAACACACCTGCTATACCAAAAGCAGGCTACTATGAAGCTGCTTGATGTTTCTGAAGCAACATGTGCTGTTCCCAGCCACCAGCTGGTAGACAGAGCAGCACACTTCAGTGAAGTAACTTCACTTCAGGAGCTTCAGGAGCTCACTTGACATCTGGTATGGAGCAGGTGGGTGTGACTTAAGAGAAACGGCCTGTCAGGCCAAATGGGGAAACATTAGAAAGAACATCCTGATGGTAACAGTGGAACGGACTCCTTTGAAAGGTGCTTGACTATCTCCTTCATTGGAGGCTTGTAAGCAAAGGGTGAGACGCAGGTGGCACTGTGGGTTAAACCACAGAGCCTAGGACTTGCCGATCAGAAGGTTAGTGGTTCAAATCCCCGTGACGGGGTGAGCTCCCGTTGCTCGGTCCCTGCTCCTGCCAACCTAGCAGTTCAAAAGCACGTCAAAGTGCAAGTAGATAAATAGGTATCGCTCCGGTGGGAAGGTAAACGGCGTTTCTGTGCGCTGCTCTGGTTCGCCAGAAGCGGCTTAGTCCTGCTGGCCACACAACCCGGAAGCTGTACGCTGGCTCCCTCGGCCAATAAAGCGAGATGAGTGCCGCAACCCCAGAGTCGGTCACGACTGGACCAAATGGTCAGGGGTCCCTTTACATTTAAGCAAAGGGTGGGTGGCAACCGGTCAGCGATTCTTGAGCTGTGGTTCTTGTGGTGCAGGAAGCTGGACTGCATGATCCTTGGGGTCCCTCCTAACCCTACAATTCCAAGATTCTATGAAAGGCTTTGGGGGCAAATATTCCCACTGTCCTGAGGTTCACCAGTGTCCTAGGTTGGCCCTGAAATAATATGACTGGCATCTGGGTCAGCACTCATTTCAAGAAGGTTTAAGAAGAACCCAGGGAAGAGGAGTCATTGGCTTTTTGCCCTCTGCCAGCAAAATTGCCATTGGCCTTCCCTGTTCTTAGTCATCCTTTCATGCACTCCAATTATTTCCAAAATTGTGGAAGGTGAATCAGAGCACTGAAGAAGAAGCATCCTCCTTAAGAACAGTTCTCTCAAAACTACCCTAATTGAGCTGAAAATACTTAAGGGGTTATTCCTGGCTTCAAAATGATTACTTTATATATATAAATATATAACAGTCATCTTTCTCTCACTTCCAGCCCACGCATTCCAATAAATTACCATCGTGTATTCTCCCTGTAGCTGATATTTATTTTTTTATTATTATCATCAGGGGAAAGAGAGGTATTTTATATATTAGTAAAAAGCTGAACCGATTTCTGCTGTCAAAGTTTCATCAGTGTCAACAAGGTATGGGGTGGTAGGTGGAGAGACAGATCGAAAGGGATAAATATTTCAAATTAAATAAAGGGCCCTGATGTGTCGTTCGCCTGTTCTGTTTTGTTCAGTTTGTGAGGGTGGGGGTGGAAGAGTCAGTCAAGGGGGAATTTCTACACATTCTTTTGCACATGTTTCTTTTTTGGGGGGAGGGTGTTATGTGAAAGCAACCACACCATGGAACTCCCTGCTTGTTGACCTTCAATGCACTTTTTTCGGCACCTGCTAAAAACATATTTTGCTCAGGCAAGCCTACTCAGATATGTAAAATGTTGGCATGTGGTTTAATCTGTTTTTAGCTCATTGCTGATTTTAAATTTTTTTCTGCGTTTCATAGGGGTGTTTTTAACTGCTTTCATCAATTTACTCCTTGTGTAAACTGCTTTGATGTTTGATTTTTAACAAACAAGTCATACATAATTTTTATGAAATTAAATATGTATCATAACAGTGCCCTGAAATACTGCAGTTCAATCCCCGAAGAGTTCAGCCAAGCTCCCTTTCTCTTCCCACAAACTGCTTAATGCACCTAAATATAATCATCATCATCATTGTCATCATCAATCATAATTATATACCACCCTTCATCAATAGAGTCAGTGTGGCACAGTGGTTAGAGTGTTGGACTAGGACCAGTCAGAGACCACGGGTTCAAGTCCCCCACTCGGCCATGAGGCTCACTGGCTATGACCTTGGGAGCCAGTTGCTGCCTCTCAGCCTGACCTACCTCACAGGGTCATTGTGGGGATTAAATGAGGATGAGAAACATGTGCACCTCTTTGAGTTCCTTGGGGAGCAAATGGTGGGATATTATTATTATTATTATTATTATTATTATTATTATTATTATTTATACCCCGCTCATCTGGCTGGGTTTCCCCAGCCACTCTGGGCGGCTTCCAACAAAACACTAAAATACAATAACTTATTAAACATTAAAAGCTTCCCTAAACAGGGCTGCCTTCAGATGTCTTCTAATAGTCTGGTAGTTGTTTTTCTCTTTGACATCTGTTGGGAGGGCATTCTACAGAGCGGGTGCCACTACCGAGAAGGCCCTCTGCCTGGTTCCCTGTAACTTGGCTTCTCACAGGGAGGGAACTGCCAGAAGGCCCTTGGCGCTGGACCTCAGTGTCCAGGCTGGATGGGGGTGGAGACGCTCCTTCAGGTATACTAGACTGAGGCCGTTTACGGCTTTAAAGGTCGGCACCAACACTTTGAATTGTGCTCAGAAACGTACTGGGAGCCAGTGTAGGTCTTTCAAGACCAGTGTTATGTGGTCTCGGTGGCCGCCCCCAGTCACCAGTCTAGCTGCCACATTCAGGGTTAGTTGTAGTTTCCGGGTCACCTTCAAAGGTAGCCCCACATAGAGTGCATTGCAGTAGTCCAAGCGGGAGATAACTAGATAGAGCATGCACCACTCTGGCAAAACAGTCTGCGGGCAGGTAGGGTCTCAGCCTGCGTACCAGATGGAGCTGATAAACAGCTGCCCTAGACACAGAATTGACCTGCGCCTCCATGGACAGCTGTGATTCGAAAATGACTCCCAGGCTGCTCACCTGGTCCTGAATGGGGCACAGTTACCCCATTCAGGACCAGGGAGTCCTCCACACCTGCCTGCCTCCTGTCCCCCAAAAACAGTACTTCTGTCTTGTCAGGATTCAACCTCAATCTGTTAGGTGCCACCCATCCTCCAACCGCCTCCAGACACTCACACAGGACCTTCACCGCCTTTTCTGGTTCTGATCTGAAAGAGAGGTAGAGCTGGGTATCATCTGCATACTGATGAACACCCAGCCCAAACCCCCTGATGATCTCTCCCAGTGGCTGCATGTAGATGTTGAAAAGCATGGGGGAGAGGACAGAACCCTGAGGCACCCTCAAGTGAGAGCCCAGGGGTCTGAACACTCATCCCCCAACACCACTTTCTGAACACAGCCCAGGAGGAAGGAGCGGAACCACTGTATAACAGTGCCCCCAGCTCCCAGTCCCTCTAGACAGTCCAGAAGGATGTTATGGTCAATGGTGTCAAAAGCTGTTAAGAGATCCAGCAGAATTAGGAAACAGCTCTCACCTTTGTCCCTAGCCCGCCGGAGATCATCGACCAGTGTGACCAAGGCAGTTTCAGTCCAATGATGAGGCCTGAATTCCGACTGGAAGGGATCAAAATGGTCCACTTCTTCCAGGCGTGCCTGGAGTTGTTCAGCAACCACTTGCTCAATCACCTTGCCCAAGAATTGAAGATTTGAGACTGGGCAATAGTTGGCCATATTGGCCGCATCTAAAGATGGTTTTTTAAGAAGTGGTTCGATAACCGCCTCTTTCAGCGGGTCTGGGAAGGCTCCCTCACAGAGAGAAGCATTCACCACCCCGCAAAGCCCATCGCCCAGCCCTTCCCGGCTAGCTTTTATAAGCCAGGATAGGCAAGGATCAAGGAGATAGGTGGTTGGTTTCACTCATCCAAGCAGACTGTCCACATCCTCGGGGGTAACAGATTGGAATTGATCCCACACAACTTGACTAGACAGGACTCCCACCCCGGCCCTGCTCCCACGGTGGAGTCTACCTCTTCTCGAATCTGAGCGACTTTATCTGCAAAAAAACTTTGCAAAATCATTGCAGGAGATCATGTGGCCCGTACTGGGCCCTGATGGAGCAGGTGGTTCCGCTAAATTGTGAACCACCTGAAAGAGTCTCCTGCTGCTGTTTTCTGAAGATGCAATAGAAGCGGTGAAGAAAGTCTTCGCCGTCGCCATTGCCACTTGGTAGGCTCGACATTGAGCTCTAACCCGTGTCCAGTCAGCTTCAGAATGAGTTATCCGCCACTGGTGCTCTAGCCGTCTCAGTGATTGTTTCATTGCCCTCAGATCCATGGAAAACCACAGGGCTGTCCGGGCTCCATGCAACGGAGAGGGCACCAATTGGAGAGGGAGCCAAACAGTCAATAGCCCTGGTTAACTCCACATTCCAGCGGGCCACCAGGGAATCAGCTGAAAGGCCATCAACATAGGATAAAGCATCCCCTACCACTCTCTGGAAACCATTTGGATCCATTAAGTGGAGGTGGCGGACCATCCTCCCTGCAGAGGGGAAGGGTCACGGAGAAGTCCAGTTGCACCAGGAAGTGATCTGACCATGGCACTTCTTTAGTTTCGCTTTTACTTAGTGTCAGATCACCAACATCCATAGAGGTGAACATCAGGTCCAAGGCATGTCCACGGTTATGAGTTGGGCCAGACTTATTCAGGGACAGTCCCATGGAGGCCATGCTTTCCACGAAGCATGGAATTTCCATGAATAAAGAAGGTGCCATGGTGGGTTTAAAAAGCAGAACATATAATATCTGTCCAATACAAAAATCAAAACCATTGTATAAATATAATTATTATAATAAGCAATACATAACAGAAGACATTTTCCAATAAAATGCAGGTTATCATTATAGCATGATGAAAATAGGGAAGAAAATCAGCAGTAGGGTATCTAAAATTCAAGAATGGGGCACAGTGCATAGCAAATGCAGCATCCTCTAGACATTGCTGGACTATAACCCTCATGATCCCTTACCATTGGTCATGCTGGCTGCTGGGACTGCTGGAAGTTGGGAGTCCAGCAACATCTGAAGAGCACAATACTGGCTACCACCGACACAAGGGTATCAGGGTTATGTCTCCATATTGCTATCCAGGTCAACAATCTATCACTCTCTCTGGCATGTGGCATGTTTTTTGAGAGAGATCATGGGTACAGTTAACACCCAGCAGGTTATATGTTTTGCAATTGTTTCTTCTCCCCAGGGCACCCCAGCTATGGATGCTACAAAGGTAGCGATTGCTGTTCTGATCAGTTACCTGTCACAATCAGCACTGTTTCCATTCCCCTGCAGCTCAGTAACTGCCAAATGCTCCATTATCTGTCCCTCTGTCTGCAATTTAACAAGTGTTACGCAGCTTACATAGGTATTTATATACCCTACATAAACATTTATGTAAATTTCAGTGGAAATCAAATGGCAAAACAATTTTTTTAAATTGAAATTTATACATTGTTTGCAGACTAGAGAAAGAAAGAGCAGCAGCAGCAGCAGCAGCAGCAGCAGCAGCAGCAACAACAACATTTTCATGCACCACATAGTTAAACCATGGAACTCAGTCCCACCAGAGCAATGGTGGCAACCAGCTTTGATGGTTGTAAGATCCAAGAGCAGGCTTTTGAAATTTGCTAGGAATCTTACACCCTACCACTACTGAACAATTATGGCCATATTCACAGCATACATGTAAAGCACTACAGTACTACTTTAAATGGCCGTGGCTTCCCCAGAAGAATTCTGGGAACTGCCATTCATTAAAGGCGCTTGGGGAGCCCCAACTCCCCTCACAGAGCAATAGTTCCCAGAGTTTCCTGTGAAGAGGGGTTGTTAAGTTATTCTGAGAATTTTAGCTCTTTGAAGATAATAGGAGTCTCCTAGCAACTCTAAGCACAATTCAAAGTGTTGGTGTTGACCTTTAAAGCCCTAAATGGCCTCGGTCCAGTATACCTGAAGGAGCGTCTCCACCCCCATTGTTCTGCCTGGACGCTAAAGTCCAGCGCTGAGGGCTTTCTGGTGGTTCCCTCACTGCAAGAAGCAAAGCTGCAGGGAACCAGGCAGAGGGCCTTCTCGGTAGTGGCCCCCGCCCTGTGGAACGCCCTCCCACCAGATGTCAAAGAGATAAACAACTACCTGACATTTAGAAGACATCTGAAGGCAGCCCTGTTCAGGGGAGTTTTTAATGTGTGACATTTGATGTATTTTTAATCCTTGTTAGAAGCCACCCAGAGTGGCTGGGTACAAATAATAAATTATTATTACTATTATTAACAAACTACAGAAGTCTTGATTGCTTAATGCCATGTCACAGTGCATTAGACGGATAGTGTTGGTGTGATAGAAGCCTTCCTTCTCCCCATTAGACTGTAAACTCTTTGGTTCAAGATCCTGTTTGGTTTGGTTTATGAAAATGGATAGCAAACTGTATATAAATAAGAGTTCCAGGCAAATGCCGCCTGACTAATGTAGCCTGGCAACTATCTCCACTTTCTCTAGCTAATTTGGCTGCCAAGAAAACAGAACTCTGGTGCCACCTTTAGGACTAGCAATCGTGACATTCTTCTACTCTGAGAACCTCTCTCCCCCTTTTGTCACCACCCTCTGAGTTTTGAAATCAGTTTTTTCTTTTACCTAACTCCTAGCCCAGGACAACAGTCATTTAAACCCTTCCAGTCCTATTCCCTAGTAGGAAGCTTTAACTTCTTTTCTCACTCCCTGGGCCAGCCTCTCCACGAGACTGAGGGAGGAAGATGCCCCAGGTGGAAAGGTGGCAGGGAGGGATGTCATAAAATTCCAACAAAAATGGAAACTGGAGCATAAATTGCTTATTCATCCCATGTCTGGAACAGAAATCAGTCCAGCAAATGGGGTTGGTATTAACTGCTGCTGCTGCTGCTTTCAGCCAGCCAATGATATGGTGCAATGGTTAGAGTGTTGGATTATAACCTGGGAGACCTAGGGTTTGAATCCCCACTTAGTCATGAAGCTCACACTCAACCTAACCTACCCTTACAGGATTGTTGTGAGGATAAAATGGGGGGGGGGGGACACACCATGTAAACTACCCTGAGCTCCTTGAAGGAAAAGGAGGCATAGAAATGTAATAAATAAAACTTATTTATTTATTCATATCAAATAAAATGCACTTTCCCCCTTCCTCTCATTTGTATAGTGTTTCCTTTTTCGCTGAAATGAAGGTGTTGGAATAAAATAATGACACCAGACATAAGTTATTATGATAGTTACATCATTTTGTCTGCAGGAGACAGCAGCATAAATAATGCTGGTTTTAGTGGGAGGTAAAACTGCAGTGAAGTGGAAATGGATCTGCAGGCGATGAATACCATGCAGAACAGAATGAAGTGTCTCATCTTAAGTCCCTGTTGGCGAGATGGCAGAGCTGGGCATATGTGCTTCATGCAGCCTGTCCTGTACCTCCTAAATTAGTCTCAGCTGCAGCAGAGGATGCTAAGATAAGATTCAACTGCCAGCGTGGGCAGCTTTTGTATACGGGATTTCAATGAATGTCAGCTTGCCTTTTGCCTCTGAAAGGTCGTGGCTCACTGGTAGAGCATCTGCTTTGCATGTAGAAGGTACTAGGTTCAAACCTCTGCTGTATTTCCCGGTGGGGCTGGGATAGCCTGGGCAGGTACCACAGAGAGACCAGCTGCCAGTCAGTGTTGACAACACTGAGCAAGGCAGACTAATGGTTTGACTCAGTACAAGGCACCTCTCTGCACTCCTATTTAATACAGCCCTTTATTCAGAAACCAAAAGGACTAGAATCCTGCTTGCAAGAAGGCCCCAGGTTCATTCCCTGCCATCTCCTGGTAGGGCTGGGAGAAATTCCCTTCCTGAAACCCTGGAAAGACACTGCCAGTCAGTGTCAACAATATTGAGCTAGGTGGACCAAATGGGTCTGACCTGGATATACCACTGATTAAAATGAGATGAGGGTTGAGCAATGAAGGTCTTTTGCTTCTATCCAAAACTAGCAGTCAACTCCTGACTACAACTAATGAGAATAAAGTGCTGTTAAATTCAAGGGTCTTTTTCTCAGGTAAATGGTTTTAGGGTTGCAGACTGCCTCTAAAACCTGTGCCATGCTTTTATGGGCCTGGAATATCCTTACCAGGGCCACAGACTGTGGATTTGATTCCGGTTTTCTCCAGCACTGGAACTCGGTTGATGGCGCCTTCAATGTGCTGTGTAAACACATCCCAATCCAGATCGAAGAGGCCAAAAGCAAACTTGTCCAGCACCTGAAAGAGCCAGCATGCTCATTTCCAAATGTTCTGCCCCCTCAAGAAGTTTTCAAAGATGGGGATTCAGCAGTGGACAGCTGTGATTGCCAGTCCAGTGCTGTCCTGCTTTGGTCAAGACAGAAGCCCATGTCCTTCATTTCAGGAAGGAGGGAGCTATTGAGGGCTACTAGCCATGATTGCTATGCTCTTCCTCCATGAACAGAGGCAAAAACACTTCTGAATACCTGTTGCTGGAAACCACTGGAGGGGAAGAGGGCTCTTGTGCTCAGAACCTGCTTGTGGGTTTCCCACTTGGTCATTCGAACAGGATGCTGGACTAGGTGGGCCACTCGCCTGATACAGAAGGCTCTTCTTATGTTCTTATCCATACCAAGCCTGACCTGTCCACACTGCCTGCCCATCACAGGTGACAGTGCTGCAATCCCTTTCTCCACCTCAAGGAGGGGCTCCAATATCTGTGCAAAAGTTCACAAACAGCTTTCTTAAGCAGGGACTGGTTCACATGCCAGCAGATTCTTTGTGCAAGCCCTGGAATTTTAACAACACCTCTTCAAGGTGGACCAAGGTGGTGCCTTCAAAATCCTCCAGAAACATATCTGATTTCAAAGTCGTCTGGGCTTTTAAAATGTAGTGTTTTAAGCACCTTGTTCAACACACACACATCTTCCCAGCCTCATGCAGTGCTGTGCTTTTTTAAATTCCTTATGAACACCACTCACCTCCTCCCAGAAGATGGGATTTGACTCATATCCGCCCACAGAAAGGGCATCGCCTTGGAGACGCAGATACACGGAGGTGTCATGATCTCGAACATTTGGCATGTTCTAAAAATACCCAAAGAGGAAAAACTAACAAATCTGGGGGAAGACACAGCATGTTCACATATATATACACACACAGTGTTCGTTTGCTTGTTTGTTTGTTTTTAACTGTGTACCTTAGTCACCTGGTGCCCAACCTTTTTTATTATTATTTTCCTGGGTGCTTTACAATCGTTTAAAGGCCTACTGTGATTTTAAGAGCTCTGTTAGCAGAATGTATGTTTTTTTTTTCTGCTCCTAGAGTTATTTAGTTATAGATTGTTTATAAATGACAATATACATTATGGCGATGTACAGCAAAATCACAACTTTGTAAAATTATAAAATCATAAAATGCAGACCAAACAGCCATCAATGAATTAAATTAATTACCTAAAATCACTTTGGGGGGAATGCTTTCAACGGGTGATGAAATATCAGAATCATAGGTGCTGTCTGATTTCAAAAGAAGCACTGTATGTATATCATTAGTTTTGTAGTGAGGATACTTGGCCATGACAAGAACAGGATGCTAGACTCAGTGGGCTTGCATTGTCATCCTGCCAGACTTCCCATGTGCTCTGTCCCCTGACCAATCTCTCCCCTTTGACATCCCAGAGTCTCCCTTCAGAAGCTCTTGATTCATGGGGATGTTTTAGGGTAGGTGTAGACCCCATGGTAAAGCTGGAGCAACTGAGCAGCCTTGCCTGGTGCTCTGGTGACCTCCCATCCATACTACCAGAGTGCATTGTATGTGGGGCTGCCCTTAAAGGCAATCTGGAGTGTACAGCTAATGCAGAACAAGGCTGCCAGGCAGATATGTGGGGCAGCCTGATGAGACCATGTGCCCCCCGCAAATACGATATGATACGATAATCTTTATTGTCATTGTCCCATACAGAACAACAACAAAATTGAAAAAGTCTACATCAAGAAACCAACAAGCCTGCTATCCCAGCTATCCCAGCCTGGTTAGCCCCCTAAAAACTCTTATACCCCATAATTAAATACAATATGCTCACATAGAGACTCCCTTAAAAGGTAAAGGGACCCCTGACCATTAGGTCCAGTCGTGACCAACTCTGGGGTTGCGGCGCTCATCTCGCTTTATTGGCCGAGGGAGCTGGCATACAGCTTCCAGGTCATGTGGCCAGCATGACTAAGCCGCTTCTGGCGAACCAGAGCAGCGCACGGAAACGCCGTTTACCTTCCCACCGGAGCAGTACCTATTTATCTACTTGCACTTTGACATGCTTTCAAACTGCTAGGTTGGCAGGAGCTGGGACCGAGCAACGGGAGCTCACCCCGTCACGGGGATTCGACCCACCAGCCTTCTGATCGGCAAGTCCTAGGCTCTGTGGTTTAACCCACAGCGCCACCCGTGTCCCATAGAGACTACCTTACACTGCGTTTAAAACCAAAATCGCATTTGGATAGAAACTGTTTCTCAGGCGGCTAGTCCTAGTCTTTATAACCCTGTACCTTCTTCCAGAAGGCAGAAGCTGAAAGAGATCATTTCCAGGGTGCATAGTATCCTGCACTATCTCTGCAGCTTAAATGCTGAAATCACTAGTTTAGATAGTGTTATTGCTTTGAACTGTTTTTGCAAAAGCATTTTAATGATATAGTTACTGATGCATTTGCTGCCCTGGGCTTCTTTGGGACGAAAGGCAAGATACAAAATTAGTGGTAGTAATTGGTGGTCGTGATAGTGGTAGCAACCAAAGTAAGACACTCATCTGATTAGGCTCACCAAGAGGCCCCTGGAGGGGCGAGAGTAAAGTGAGGAGCATAGGGTCCTACATCAGCTACACTGTAAAGCGATTTGGTGAAGAAGAAAAGGACACACACACCCCAACCCGCCACTAAAGGATCTGAGACGTCTTCCACAGCAATCACTGATGCAAAGCACTAGCCTCTCCTGGGCTGCGTTAGAGGGTCTTAGAAGGACATCTAGTGGAAAGATGAGGAATAAACCATCTCGAGACTGCCTAAAAATTACAGGCAGGCACCCATCACAAAATTTAGTGTGGACCCTGATTTGGGGCTTTGTAAAGTAGCCCAACTTCGTAGAAGGTGCTTCATTGGCTGATCAGTTCAGCTTAGGGTCTGTCTGAGCCTGTTTCATTTCCCCACTATTCATTATTGGAGGGAGGTGGATTGTGGGGGGTGGGAAACTGCAGCTATTCTCCTTATCACAGGACAAAATTTGCAAGCTTGGTGTAGCCCCATCAAATTGCAGATTATGCTCACACACCACCACACCACACCCACGAACATTAAAGAAAAAATTCAGCAAAATTGGATGAAATTTGCAGGTAAGATTGTCCGTTCCAGAGGCACAGATCCCACCAAATTTCAGAAGAATAGATGCAGTGGTTTTCTTGCAGGGGTAGCTGTTACAGTTTTAGGTTGGGTTAAAACAAAAATCACCTAATCTCCCCTAGCATTTTGCTAGTCAGTAATCCACAATAATGTCTAATAATTTCAGTGGTTCTACTCTGTATATGACTGTTTGGATAAAACCCAATATTTATATCACACTCTTCAATCAATATAAACCATGAGCAGTCTTCAACAAAGGGTTATGCTGTGGTACACACAAGAGAGAGAAACTAAGAAAATTAGAAAGCACTGGATTAAAAACTAGTATCTGCAATCCACTAACCTGGATCCCTTCTATCCTCTCTGTGACGACATACGCATGGTGCATTGCCACTAGTGGCACATTAACACCGGCCATCTTCCCCAAGGATTGGGCCCACACACCTGTTGGGAGAAGGAAGATCTACCATTGGATGACCACAGCAATCAGGGATGCCTTCGGGGTGGGAAGGACTCGTTGATGCACTGAGCTCACATCAGCTTCTGGTTTGCTTGACATAAGGCCATAGCTCTTTGCATGAAGAAGACTCAGTTAGTACTGGGAAAGTCTCCATCTGAAACCCTGGAGAGCAGCTACCAGGCAGTGTAGAGCTAGAAGGACTAATGGTCTGACTCAGGATAAGGCAGCACACTGGCAGAGCATCTGCCTTGCATACAGAAGGTCTCCGATTCCGTCCCTAGTGGCATCTCCAGGTAGGGCTGGGAGAGATCCACTGTATGAAACCCTGGAGAGCTGCTCCAGTCAACGTAGACAATGCTAATTGAAATGGACCAAGATAGAAGGAACCCCAATGGATCGTGGTTCTAGAATCTGGAGGGAGGAGACCTTTTTCTTACCCATGCAGTTCACCACGCAGGGAGTCTGGATGGTTCCATGGTCTGTCACTACAGCTGCTACCCGCCGGGCTCCCATATCATCCTCCCTTAATTCAATGCCTATCACAGGGCAATTCTCAATCACCTAGACAAAGCAAAGTGACAAAGAAGCTGCATGTTTTTCTTTCCTGCACTTAAACCCCACCCTTCTTCAAGGAGGCATACACAGTTCTCCCCCTCTCCATTTTATCCTCACAACAACCCTGTGAGGTAGGTTAGGATAAGAGACAATTACTGGCCCAAGGTCACCCAGTGAGCTTTATGGCCCTTGTGACTCACCAGAGCTCCTCGGGCGGTGGCTGCCCGGGCGAGGGTCATACAGGTCCCAGCAGGATCCATCGTGCCATCCTTGGGGACGTAGAGTGTGCCATAGAGGTCATCCACATTCATCAAGGGATACAAGTCTTTTGTTTCCCCAGGCGATAGGACATACGATTCAATACCATAAACTTTACCTAGCTAGAAAGCATATCAAGAGGACAAGTGTCTCACAAAACAACATCCAAGAGACTGACTAGTGGATCAAGCAGAGATCTATCTAGTTCTGTCCTCACAGCAGCCAACTAAATGCCCCAATAGGAAACCTGCAAGCAGGACCTGAAATGGGACAGAATTAGCTCCTCAGGCCCTCCTTATTCTCCTTGACAGAGGAGAGGAACCAGCTAGGACATTTTCTACTTACAGACATGAGCCTTTTGTATTCGTCCAATCTTTGCTTGTTAGAGGCAATGAAGAGGCCACCATTTTGAATCCATCCTGTGTGGAGGCCTGTCTCCTGCTCTAGGTCTTGGCTAACGACGGTACGAGTATGAGCCAACAGTTCAACCTCCACATCACTGGGGCGCAATTGCCACAGCAGGCCTAAGCGAGACAGGAAGGGAAGGAGGTAAACTATTATTCAATATGGATGTAAGGTGGTGTCAGTTTCCATTGTGGCCCAGGTTCGGCACACAAAGCACTGTTTCCATTCCACAATGGTTTGGTTTGCAAACCGAAGACGACAATAGTGAATACCGATTTATATTTGCTGGATCTGTTTCTGTTCCAGACATGGGGCAAGTAAGGCAACACTGACCATTTTCCCATTACTGTTTCCATCAGAATTTTCTGGCATCCCTGTTCTTCAATGAGCAGGGGAAATTGGACACTGTGCCACATTTAAGGCATGCATAAACTATCAGCGATTAGGATCTCTTGTCTCTGCCAGGAGAAGGGAGCATCCTCTATGAGCACAGGGATGAAATTCGTTAGAAAAGAACAACTGCCGCTGCCATCCCTCCTGCAGGAGGCAGAAATGGCCATCAACTTGGATGGCTTGAAAACTGGATTCGACAAATTAATGGAGGAGGAGGCAGCTACCAATGGCTACTAGCCATGAAGTCTATGTTCTGCCTCCACTGACAGAGGTGGTACGCCTCCAAATACTAGTTGCTAAGAACTGCAGGTGGGCAGAGTGCTGTTGCTTCCAGGACCTGCACAAGCATCTGGTTGGCAACTGTGAAAACAGGATGCTGGACTACTTGGGTCATTGGCCTGATCCAGCAAAGTTCTACTTATGCTCTTAAATTCAGGCATTCTCTGCAGCAGACCCTAAGCTGCAGCGCTGCCTCCCCCACAGAGATGCACCTTGCATCAGGGTCGCTGTGAGTGGTGCAGAGACGTGTGAACACCAACCTAAGCTCTTTGGAGAAAAAGCGGGGCTAAAATTTGGTAAAACAAATAAATAAATATTGGAAGCTTTCATTTTTTTGCATTGTAGTTTTTGCCTTCTTACTTTATGGCTGAATCATTGAGCTTTTGTTGGATGTTTTTTTACATTGTAGTTTTGTATTGTTTGTTTTTACTTTATGATAGATTCATTAAGTTGTTTATTGGACCCGTGGGAGCTTTTTTTTTGGTAATTTTTGAATATTGTTGTTTTTCTGTTAATTTTTATTACTTCATTCCCCTCTCTAAGATTGAAGAGCAGGCTACAAATACTGTAAATGAATGAATGAATGAATGAATGAATGAATGAATGTACACCACCCATCTGACTGGGTTGCCCCAGCCACTGTGAGCAGCTTCCGGTGGATATGAAAACATAATAAAACATGGGTAGGCAAACTGGCCAGATCCAGCCCTATCACCTTCTAAATCTGGCCCGTGAACAATCCGGGAATCAGCGTGCTTTTACATGTGTAGAATGTGTGCTTTTATTTAAAATGCATCTCTGGGTTATTTGTGGGGCATAGGAAATCATTCATTATTTTTTTCCAAAACATAGTCCAGGCCCTGATATAGTCCGGTCTGAGGGACAGTGGACCAGCCCCCTGCTGAAAAGGTTTGCTGACCCCTGTAATAAAACATCAAACATTAAAAACTTCCCTTTCCAGGGAGGTTTTTGCCTTCAGGTGTCTTCTAAAAGTCAGATAGTTGTTTACTTCCTTGACATCTGATGAGAAGGCGTTCCACAAGGTGGGCACCACTACTGAGAAGGCCCTCTACCTGGTTTCCTGTAACCTCACTTCTCACAGTGAGGGAACTACCAGAAGGCCTTCAGTGCTGGACTTCAATGTCCAGGCTGAATGACAGAGATGGAGACGCTCCTTCAGGTCGTATCAGTAATACTACAAATCATCACCATAATCTCTGGCACAGGCAGCAGACAGAGCCTCCATAGGCCTCTTCAGCTATCTAATTGCATTTCTTTCCCCTTTCCCTTTACCTGCTGTGTGCCAGGTGGTCCCTGAGGTCAAGCGGTCCCTCTCCAGTAAGACAACGTTAGTCACCCCCATCTTGGCAAGATGATAGGTGGTCTGGCACCCTAAGCTGCCTCCGCCCACCACCACCACATCAGCAGATGCTGGGACTGGCTTGGTGGGCCCTTGGCCCTGAGGGGCCTCTTCCTTCAAGGTCTTCTGATAAGGGACACTCTTTTCGGTCTGCTGGCCTGTCGTCCTGCTGCTAAAGAGTCGTATGTGTCTCCAGGGACATGGCGGTTGGAAGGAAGAGGCAATTCGAAATGCTTGCTTCAAGGTGGCCATGGCGATCTGGAGAAGAAAGCAAAGGCATTGATGCAACTCGCCAATCTATGGAGTCAAAATCCTTCTCTTTAACAAATGGGTGCTTATCATTCCCAAGTCAATGTGTTTAGCCTCAGGGTAGCAGAAGCGAACACTGCTTTATTCCTGTAGTGATGAGGGTGTTAGAAGAAGTTGTAAAGGAAAGGTGATGGAGAGGAGGAAGAAGAGAAACTTCAACTTGGGTGCTTTTCCAGTTACATCATTCTCATGGTTATTTAAAGGGTTGGGGTGCTGTAAAACCATACAGTCCAGTGCCTAAAATTACCCAGCTGCACCTCTGTTTCTCTCTGAGGTATCCCAGCAAGCTTAAGAAAAAACCCCAAATCCCCCAGAACACATTCTCAAAAACACTGCTCCATGTTAAATGAACTATAAATAAGGCAACTAAACTCATATTCATGTTTTAACTTGTATTGTAATAGACACCTCTTAATTAAGTGTCTTCATTTGGCCAAGCCCTGGGGCAATTCAATTTTGGATAGCAGGGTTGCGGGGAGGGGTGTGTGGAAGGGTGGTTCTAGTTGCTGGAAGGTCAGGACTTTGGGTGTGTCTTTCCTTCATCTGAACTTCAAGCCAGAGAGTCTGCAGGAAGCAGAGGAGGCTCTGTCTCTGCACAGAACCAGGGAGAGGGAAGAGATGCCCAGACTGCTCAACATGCAGAAGCAGAATTCAAAGTCTCCCTGCTTGAAACCCTGGAGAACTTCTGCCAGACATTGCTGACAGTACAGTGGTACCTCGGGTTACAGACGCTTCCAGTTACAAACACTTCAGGTTACAGACTCTGCTAACCCAGAAATAGTACCTCGGGTTAAGAACTTTGCTTCAGGATGAGAACATAAATCGTGCAGCGGTGGCGCAGCGACAGCAGGAGGCCCCATTAGCTAAAGTGGAGCTTCAGGTTAAGAACAGACCTCCAGAATGAATTAGGTTTTTAACCCGAGGTACCACTGTATTGAGCAATGTGAACCCTAATGGTTTGGACTCTGCAAAAAGCAGCTTCCAGTGTTTTGATAAGAGTTCTGCTATGCTTCCCTTTTCATTAATCATCCATTTGCTTTTATCCTGCCTCTCATTTTGAAATTCTATTATTATTACTGGGTTATATCCAATGTTTGTACTACCTTTAATTGAAATTAATGGCATGACTCACTTAGGCCCATGAATTTTAATGGGTCTGCTTCATGTGAGACAATCCATTATTATTTCATTTATATCCCACCTTTGTTGCCAAGAGCCAGTGGTTAGGAGCTTTGGACTTGCATATGAGAGCTGGCCTGGTTTTATTTCACTGCTCCTAATTCCAAGCTCCAGTGTACACACCCCCACCCTCTCCGGGCTCCTCCACGATTCCATCAGAGTGAGTTTCTTGGAATCCTGCACAGTCAACGAATTCCTCTGTCAAGCAGGCTTGAATCTCTGCTTTTGCAGTAGGGACCTGAGACTCTCATTTGCAACAGACACACACCCTTTCCAAAAGATGAAACCTTGTTTGAAAAATAGTAATTTTCCAACACAGCTCTCTGGTATGAATATAAACACCACAGCTTGAAAGAGACAAGACTAGAACAAGGCAAACACTTAAAATACACATTCCCATGCAATGCAGGAATTTCAGCTATAATACAGTGGTACCTCAGGTTACATACGCTTCAGGTTACAGACTCTGCTAACCCAGAAATAGTGCTTCAGGTTAAGAACTTTGCTTCAGGATGAGAACAGAAATTGTGCTCTGGCGGCGCGGCGACAGCAGGAGGCCCCATTAGTTAAAGTGGTGCTTCAGGTTAAGAACAGTTTCAGGTAAAGTACGGACCTCCGGAACGAATTAAGTACTTAACCTGAGGTACCACTGTATCCATGACAGAAGGCCACCCAACCTCTGTCTAAAAACCTCCAAGGAAGGAGTTTCCACCACTTCCCGAGGGAGTTCATTCCACTGTCTAACAGCTCTTACTGTCAGAAAGTTATTTCTGAAATTGTTGGTACAGGTTCTACCATCCAGAGCAGTAGAAAACAAACTTGTTCCATCTTCCATATAGCAGCCCTTTGGATATTGGAAGATGGCTATCATATCTCCTCCTCTTTTCCAGGCTAAACATCCCCAACTCCCTCAACCATTCCTCATAAGGCTTGGTTACCAGACCCTCAATCATCTTGGTCGCCTTCATCTGCACACCTTCCAGCTACTCAATATCCTTCTTAAATTGTGATGCCCAGAAGTGGACACAGTACTCCAGGTGTGGTCTGACCAAGGCAGAATAGAGCAGTACTATGACTTCCCTGTTGATGCAGCCTAGAATGTATTAGCTTTTCTTGCTGCTGCATCTCACTGTCAACTCATGTTCAGCTTGTGGTCTACTAAGATCCCAAGATCTTTTTCATATGTACTACACACAAGCCAGTGTCCCCCGTCTTATATTAGTGCATTATATATGCTTGCTTATTGAGACATATATAAAAAGCTGACTTAGGTAAAGGGACCCCAGACCATTAGGTCCAGTCGTGACCGACTCTGGGGTTGCGGCGCTCATCTCGCTTTATTGGCCAAGGGAGCTGGCGTACAGCTTCTGGGTCATGTGGCCAGCATGACTAAGCCACTTCTGGCGAACCAGAGCAGCGCACGGAAACGCCGTTTACCTTCCCGCTGGAGCGGTACCTATTTATCTACTTGCACTTTAACGTGCTTTCAAACTGCTAGGTTGGCAGGAGCAGGGACCGAACAACGGGAGCTCACCCCATCGCGGGGATTCGAACCACCGACCTTCCGATTGGCAAGTCCTAGGCTCTGTGGTTTAGACCACAGAGCCACCCGCGTCCCTTCATAAAAAAGAAAAGCTGACTTACAACAGGTCAAAAATAAAGGACTTCTTCATGCAACAAAGAGTAATGGGACCTGCCTGCAGGAGGCAGTGATGGCCACCAACTTGAACAGCTTTAAAAGAGGATTAGCCCCATTCATGCAGAATAAGGCTATCATGCTTTACACAGTTGATGCATGGAACACAAAACATCCACTTCATGCACAGCTCATATGCATGCCAAACACCACCCTCAAATGCAACATAAAGGAAAGTCAGCTCCATCCTGTTTACCTCTGAAGTCAGGTTGCTGCCGGACTCTTCTCTCTGGCTGCTAGAAGTGCTGGGCTGGGCTGTCAACCACGCTGCTATTACACAAAAAAATTAAGCAAGAGTTGAAAGAGGACACCAGATCAGAAGTGAAGGCAGCAGCAGCTGCTGCTGCTATTGGCCAGGGGCTGCTAGTCCCAGAGTCCAGCCAGTGCATTTCTGGGAATGTGGAGTGACGTGTACACAGCTCATGTGCATGGGCATAGCCAAGGGGGAGCAGGCAGGGGCAGCTGCCCACCCCAACCAATAAAAATCTATAAAAATGCATAGCTAACTGAGGTTCTCCCCTGCCAAAAAAAGGCCTGCCCCCCAACAAAAATCCTGGCTATGCCCATGCTCATGTGGACATATCCTGCCTCAGAAGAAGAAGCTCCTTCTGTGCATCTGTGCTCATTTGGGCAGCAAGCTTTGGCAGAGTCTGGCTTGAAATAGAATCACATAATTCTATGCTCCAATGGGCAAGCACAGATGTTTTTGGCACAATTAACAAAACGAGGGCATGCCTTGCATTGAACTTTGCACAGTACTAACTTGTGGGATTTGTTGATAGAAAATCTGTTGTCAGTGGCAGCACCGGGGGGCAGGGTAGAATTCATGTGGGCACAGCAGGGCAAAGTATATTTGTAAACTAACAGCATGTGTTAATAACCAGCAATGTAGGTAGCAACTGTTGGGGGAAGCAAATTCCTTGTTTAGGGGTGTATTGGGGCCCCCCGCATGCCACACATGTCTGTTTTATGGTTGCCATACATCTGGGATTTCCTGGACATATACAGAATACTGCAGTCAGAAGCAGTGTCTGGGCTGAAATCGGTTTTTAAAAAAATAATAATTAATGTCCAGGAAAATCCAGACATATGGCAAAAAAGCTCAACAATTTTTTTGTTTGATGGTTGTTTAAAGAAACATCAGACAATATCATGCTGAAGGAGAGGCGGCAACTGAATGGATCTCCCCCCCCCCCCAAAAGAAAATACATTGGGGAGATATTTGGGGCAGAAGTAGATTTTACAGGAACAGAGACTCATAAATGGCAGTTAATCCAAGTCTGCAAAGTGAATATTTATGCGTTTCCAAAGCTTTATACACAGCACTGGTCAGGCTTTCTAGATATTCTTTTTTATATCACACCTTTTCCTCCACGGAGCATAAAGCGGCGAACATGGTTCTCCCCCTCTCCTTGCTACCTTCACAACAACCCTGAGATGAAGGGCTAGGCTGAGAGAGACAGCGACTGGCCCAATGCCACCCAGTGAGATTCATGCTGCTGAGTTCGGGATTTGACCCCCTGGTCTCTCCCAACGGTCTACTCTAAACACAGCTACATCAGCCTTCCAATGTACATAGCCACTTTTACAGAGCTCTCTGCCCCACCGAGCTTACAATCAATTTGATTCAGAACTGGAAGGAGACAACCGAAGGAGAAGGAGAAGAAGGAAAAGCAACCAGCAGCAGAAGAAAGAGAAAGAGAGAAAGGGAAAAAAGAGAAAAAGAGAAAGAGAGAGAGAGAGAATGCAAGTGGCAGTGCATACGTAAGTGTTCGTGTGAGAGAGAGAGGATTATACCTTTGCTTCTTTCTGAGCTCTTTCAACAGCACCACACTTCTCTCCCGCGCCAGCAAACGAGGCAACTTTACTGCGAGAACCATTCCTTGTAAGAACAATCAAATGTGGGCAGTGTCGGCTAGCTGGGCTCTTATTGGACAAGAGACTGGAGAGGGAGGGGTTTGCCACAGTGCAGCTGAGGAAGGAGGGGCTGGCTGTGTTGAAACTGGGTTAAAGAGCCAGACCTCCTGTAGAGGGGAAAGAGGGGCGGCTCAGGGATCATCTTCCGAGTTCTGCCTTTGCACATTTGCACATTCTGCCGGTTGTAGGCTGTGCATTTTCTGAGCTCCGCAAAAAATCCTGTGCACCAATTAAGGAGGAGACTTCTGCTTTCAATAACGTTTCCTTTATTTGTAAAAAGTATTTCTATTCCACCCCCTTACAAAATATTAGGGAGCTGTCCAGCAAGGTAGAAAATCTTTAAAAGCAGTGTGAAGCAAGTCTTGAAAACGACTGGCTAGACGAAAAATCTTTTTAAACAACTGCCTATGTCTGTCAATGTAAGCGAAAGGTCTTCAAGATTCACCTGAAAGGGAAAAGTTAGAGGCTGCCAGCCGCGTCTCTGCAGGAAGTGTGTTCCATGCAGCACTGGAACAGCAACGCCAAACACAGGGCTCCCAGGGAAGGTGGGATTGGGCCCTCTTAACAGGTCGGATGACTAACTTGTAAACCGCTTAGAGGTTTTACTACAATCAAGTGATAAACGTTCTTGAGTAAACACATAAATGAAATAATTACCTCCAAGCAGAGCTTTGTGGCACAATAAAGGGCTATCAGTCTTGCAAGCAAAGGGAAAGTTCAAAGTTTCAGAATTTATTTATTTATAAGAATAATTATATTCTGCCATTCATAAAAGAAATCAAAGCTGTTTAAAATAGCAGCACCATCCCGATACAATAAAAATGAATGTAAAATGTATCCTCTCAGTTGTGTGCATAAGCTTTCTGGAATAGAAAGGTTTTCAGCAGAGTTTGAAAAGTTAAAACAGAAGGCGCCTGCTGAATTGGGCGTGTGAGCCTGCCAATGTTTTCCAAAAGGAGCTGAATTTAGGGCCTTCTCACTGCTTGCCCCAGACTTTGGAACTGCCCTCCTCTCCAAGCCAGACTGGCTTCTTCCTTGTTGTCCTTTGACTGGCAGGTGAGGATTTTCTTGTTCCAACAAGAGCAATAATTGACTACTATAATGAAAGAGCTGGTGCGGTGCTGTTTTTATTGTAATTTTCTATATGTTTATAATAGTCTGTGTAAAAATTAGTGTGCACATGCGGGGCAGTGGAGAGGAAAAAACAAAATTAAGAACAGAAGCAGAAATATTTTGTTACTGGGGTACACGAAAGCAAGAAACACACACCACAGGACATACATACAGACGTGGTCCTTTCCTGCAACATTCTCCCTGCCCCCATAAAGCTAGGTGACTCTTAAGGAAGAAGGGGGTTGCCTGGGGGGGGGGGAGGTAAAAAACAAGAGGGGAGAGGGATGTTGGAGTTGAAGGAGAGAGAAACACAGATGACACTCCCCACTTTCAGGGTTATTTTTACATCTTTCCATATAGGACTGGGGGGACTCTAAAAATGGAGGAAGGTGCTGGTGGGATTTTTTTTTGGTGAGAGGGGGGCGTTAAAAAGGGCAGAAAAAAGCTACAGGAGGGGACACACATACACTTCCAAGCGTGCACATCATCCAGTTGTTTTGCTGTTTTCTTGCATTTCTCAATCCCTCTGGGTAAAACCACGGAGATGTTAGTTTGTTTATTTGGTTTGTTTGTGCGTGGGAGAGATTTTATTAAGACAAACAGTAGCAGCTAGCAGGCACCATTCAAAAGCCTCAGATGCTGCTCGGAAGAGGACCCGGGAGATGCGAGGAATCGAGAGAAAAGCAGCTACTTCTGCATATATGTTTTCATTTTATCTTTAAAGCGGGGCAGCAGGTTTTTTGTTTTTGTTTTTAAGAGAGAGAGAGAGATGCAGGAAGACATGGACTGCAAGTAAATTAAGGGAAGGGAAGAAAGGAGGGGAGGGAAGCTGCAGGTCCCCTAAACATTCCTCAAGTTTCCCCAAGGAGCTGCAGCTCACTGGTTGAAAACCAATGGTTTATTATGCTATGGTCTTAAAGCCTTCAGGCATTAACTAGAGCTAAGTGCCATGGACTGACTGGATGAAGAGGAGTGGTGGGAGGCACCAGCTGGGGAAGCCCCCAAGGAAATCCCAGAGAAGGTAGGCTCAGAGCCCGGGGACTGGCGGTGGGACACTGAGGAGACGTCAGAGGGGGAAGATTGGGAGGGAGTGCTGGATCCTGAAGGGACAACAGGGTTCAGTGAGCAGAAGGAACCTGTGACAGGGAGAAGTTCAGACTCTGAGGCTGAGGCAGAAGGGAAGGAGTGTCAAGGGACTGCTGAAGAATCCAGAGAATCTCCTCTCCCCGATGATCTCCAGGAATGCACAGAATAATGAGGAGGGCAGAACAGGGACCAGAGGTGCTCAGACACCGTTTGAGGCTTCTCGGGAAACATCTGGGAGAGCAGTCGTCTTAGGAGGGGTAGAAGGCAGGCACCTTCAGCCCTGGCAACTGCTCTATAGGGGAAGACTGGGAAGTGTTGCTGAGTTACATGTTTGTTCTTTGCATAGTTAACTTCTCATTGTGTGAGATTGTATGGGAAAAATATGGTATAACAGATACAATCTTGCTTAAAATGTATATAGGAAGTGCAGTGTAAGTGATGGAAGTCAATCAATGAAATTTTATTATTATTTTCATATTGAGATATTTGTAGAATAAATTTGGAAGAAACTCTTCCAACTTTTCTTCTTTTCTCTTTCTTTTTTCTTCTTCTTTTTTCTTTTCTTCTTTTCTCTCTCTTTTGTTCCTTTTTCATGTATATGTGCCTATTTGAAGTGTATATGTGTGCATGTATTTGCAGTGTTTTGCTTATATTTTTGTAACAATTATGTTAAATAAAATTTAAATAAAATAAAAAAATAACTTCACTGACAATGGAGATCTGTTTCCTTTATTGCTGACCTGCATCTGACTCTAGCCCTGATACGAAGCATGCTGGTTATATGAGGCTGATATTTATCCCACAAATTTTAAGAGGGAGGGGGAGGTTAGGTTGGTAACAGAGCCCCTGTGTTGCATGCAGAAGGACCCACGTTTAGTCCTGGGCAATTCCAGGTTGGGGGGGGGGGGGGAGAGACCTCTGCCTGAAAGTCTGTAGAGCTGCTGCCAGTCAGTGTAGATAATATTGAGCTAGATGGATCCCATGGTCTAACTCTGTAGAAGGCAGCTTCTTAGGTGGCTGCTTCACTGGCAGCAAGACCTCTTGAACTCTATGTTCAAATGAGCAACCTAAGAAGTACCTGGCAGGAGTAGCCTCCACACTGTTGCCTGTTCTCTCCAGTCTTTCACAAGAGGCCAGGCCTGACAGGGAGAGTCTCTCTCTCTCTCTCTCTCTCTCTCTCTCTCTCTCACACACACACACACACACACAACTCTGTCTCAGTGTGTACTCAGAAGTGACGTATCTAGATAAGGATATGGTTATTTCTTGGTGTTTCATAACTCTGTGGCTACTATATGATCTGCCCAATCACCAGCATGAGCAAGCAGCTACCAAAGGGTGATTGGTTGAATGGTGATTGGATAGCAGAGCAGGTAGAAGAGATACCCACCCTCCCTGCTTTAACTCATGCAGGATTCTTGGCAGTAGCTGACACAGAGAGAGAGAGAGAGAGAGAGAGAGAGAGAGAGAGAGAGAGAGAGTTCTGAGAACCAGATGGAGATATCTGGAGGGCCACTTTTGCCCCTGAACCTGAGATTTCGTTTGGGGTGCTTTTCATTAGGGAAAAACACCAAAAGGGGCAAGCGCTGTGGTGAAAACCAGCATTCATATCAGAAGAGAAATTGTTTCATAGATTACACATCTGTTTGGAGTGTCAAACTGGGGAAATCAATAGTTCAGACACCTGACACACGAGTTGGTTGAGGGTTTCTCTTTGCTGAAGTTGCAGCACTGAAGTGACCCTTCCAGGACACAAGCCTGGGCAGTGTGTATGGAGCTCATGGGCTGCCCAGATGACCAGATCCCCCTCTTGGGCTCGCCGTTGGGGTCCAAAGGAAAGCAGGGCAATATGTTTGGCCCCAACTTGGCTACAGGAGTTGCTCAAAGGAGGCATACAAGGTGCCAGCCAACCGCTTTAAGGACTCCACTCCAGATTTGTGGCGGAAATGTGGGATACAAATGTAAAATAAAATAAGTGAGGAGCATATGATGTTTTTACTCAGGTGCTACTGGGAAGTTTTGTCTGATGCAAATCAACAGTTCAGCATTTCTTCAGAACATGAAAGTTTATTTATAGAGCTGCCTCCATTGGAAATTTGATTTTAACTATTTGCCATTAAACTTCAGTGTGGAGGTGGCAAAAATATCTCTCTTTGGCCTTACTAAAAATGCATTTCTCTCTCTCAAATCTTTTGTGAAGGGTCTGAGGGGGAGAGAATTTGGCACATAACCCTGTCTTCTGTATCCAAACCCTGCCAGCTGTGGGAGGACAGGGACCTTCAGTGTCCACAACTGCCTCATAGAGGCATGACCTACTGAGAAGAGTTGCTGTGTTCATTAGGCCTGGCACTCCTGAGCAGACCTTGTTTCTTCTAAGGAAGAGTAAACTTCACTTGCTCTATGTGATTTATTGCTGGCTTGCTCCTGACACCATCTAAAGGGTTGGGGGACATTCCATGGTCTATGGTCACCCAGCAGTACCCCTGTTGTCTGAGGAAACCCCCAGCAAGCTTAAGAGAAACACCAGGATCTCCTAGAACACTTTTTCAAAAAACAACTCTCTGTATTAAAGTGTGAGGCCACTAAATCCACTGCGTTTTAAATTGTATGCACCAAACGTCTCCTAAATCAGTGTCTCCTTTTGGCCAAGTCTTAGAGGCAACACAATTTTGCAGGGGAGGGTTTGAAGAAAAAATAATAATCTGTGGCTCTAGTTGCTGAAGCCTTATAGGGGAATGCCTCTTTTAAATAGATGCATTCTT